TTCGCCCCTGCTTGGTTGATTCGAGTATGCTTGAGACTGATGTATTGTGGAACAGACACGGAGCCGTGGATCTCCTTCCACTGTCAATAAGAATGAGTTGCAGAGCTGACCCCTTTCCATATCAAGGTGCATCTTTGCGCACCCATACACCACTACCTGGACCATTATCACTATTATTGCACGCTATACACGTTCCCAACAGGCCGTCGTAACTTCCTGTTTGGCGCTCTTTGTACCAAGCACGCCTTCTTCACCACAATCGTCATACTAGCCACGATTCCTTAGATGTCACACCAGTCACAATCATGTCCGCACATGTCTTCTCAAAAGATAGCAACGTAACACTCAATTTTGCCAACTGGCGGATTCCGTCGGCCAGTAAGCACCTCCTTCCCTGTTTGTGCTTGCCGCGTCGTTTTCCCTATGCTCAATATGATAGCTGGCCAAGCAAGTAGTCTTCTCCCGCTGTGCGGATTCAAGGTCGTAAGGCGCCTGCAGGATCCTGACTAGCACGGTGGCTGGAAAAATGTGCAAGGGGAGGGGGATAGGGGAGTGGTTGAAGAGACGAGCATCACAAGAAAAAGTATTTTGAGTGTCACCATTGAGCTGCAGCCCCCCTCACATGGTCGGAGTCACCAGGCCAAGCCTCCATCCGAGCGAGAGTACTTGTGTCCCAGCCAAGAGGGATGCTCAAGCTTGTACCATTCCCGGAGCCAGCGGCAAACCGCCAAATATCGGGGCCTGCATCACTCCTATGGCAAGTCCCCCATCCATAAGCTCTGAACAGAAGTGCTAGCCGCATTTCTTCGCAGTCGAATGTGCCCCGGCGTATTCCTGCCCGAGCGTCAGTAGGTAACAGCTTTCGAGACAGCACAGCGAGATAGACATCTGCTCAACCTTGGCCTGCACATTGCAATGAGCATTCTAAACCACCACACTCCTGAACGAATCTGACGTGCAAAGTATTGCTCCGACGGGGAGAGCTGCTCTCATCAACAGATAGCCCTGCACTTCTGAGTCACACTTCCAGGTAACGCCTATTGACGCCTGTCCTTTTCCCCGCCGCCACAGCGCATTTGATTCAGAACAAGGCCTACCCTTTGTTACTCCTACTTCCTTCGACACATACAGTAGCTGCTTTCTCCGAGATCCGACCCTCCCTTTCTTATTCTTCTTCGCCCCTTCTTTTCCTTCATCACTACTCCATTCTCATCAGTTAGATTCAGCGGTCTGAGTCTTGCCGCCACCCCACCGCGAACTGACGATTATGGACCCCTTTCCTTGGCTCGCCTATTCTTGCACCGAGTTTCCCGCGCTTCTATGGACAACGTAAATAAGGGGAAGGGGAGGTCTCTGAAGCCGGGGGCGCTGCCCGCACGGGGCTTACAGCGATCATGTGTTATGCTAGTCCTTTTCGAGGGCGCGGCTGGGAAAGCGGAGACATTCACACGGAAGTCTATGGAAGGGTCCATTTTTAGCGGGGTCCTCTTGACGGACTGTTCAAGCACCCTTGGCACCTGGATAAATTTGTTCGTCAAGATAGAGACACGCCATGAGCCATCAACCTATCAAAGGGTTTGAGATACTGACTCCTAGTCGTTATGAAAGCGGGAACGCGCTATCGATACGAGAAGGCCCTCCTGTTTCGGCTGATGGACAGCCACCGCCACCACCAAGACGAGTGAGGTCCCTACTTTTAGCGACGAAAGAACACCAAAAGTTCGTGCAGGATTTTTTTCGATTAATTTCCGACTTATCGTTCTCTCCGTTGGCTCCGGAGGAAGGTTTTGTCGAAAGGTTTATTGAAGGATGGACGGAAAGCCTGCTCCAACAGCTTCAACAACTTTCGCAAAACGTCGATGCCTCTGAGCCATCACAGCCCGAGCTACAAAGCTTCCCGTTGGCCTTTGTAGCAAAATTTGTGTCTTATGTGGTTGACAAAGCCGTGTCGGCTGGTTTTGATAATCACAAAGAGGCTGATGAACATCTGAAACCATTCCTGCAAACATGGGAAGGGTCCGGGAAGTCTGGGGGCACGATCTCAAACCTCAACACTGTCGCGAAGCGCAGGGGATCAGCTAGAAAGCTGTTTCAGTGCACAGCAGCATGTGCCAAGTTAATTGGAGGTTCTGCCCATACCATTCCGCTATTTAGTAAGTATTTCTTTTTAAAATTTAGTATTTCCCTACTCACCGTCACTATAGATGACGGCTGGTACACAGAAAACGACATTGAGGCTATCCAACAAGTAGCATCGAACTCGATCGCAATACAGGATCATGCCTTTAACAGACTGCTAGATCCTAGTCATTTGGCGCCTGTACTTCTTTGGCCGTTGCTTTGGCCCCTGTCTGACACTTTCGAGCTATACCCGGTGGTCGGAGGTACAGAAGCTCAGCAGAGACTAAGAGAGCTTCACCAGAATGCCACGGCAGAGATTCAAGGATTGAAGCCTACGGCAGATAACCCAACGGGTAAGAGTGAGGATTACCCTGAGGGGCGAAACTTTAGCGAGTGTGCGATGTTTGTGACAGCGGTCATAAAGTATCTGGTGCGTGGTCGACCACAGCCAAAAGCAGCAAAAGCTAACTACGAACAGAGATCGGAGGTACTAACAGCACAGCCTCCTCTGAACTTGTTTAGCAGCACGATTTGCACGAAAGCCGGTGACCCCCAGCTATTAAGATTAGCCGGAAAAGGCACAGGGTTTCTGCCCGAGAACGTTCAGCTTCCAGGCCTTGCCTTGTCGTATTCATCCGGAGTGGTAGAAGTCGCAGTTTCCGAATCGAATAAGGCGATTCCGTGGCCGCGGAATAAAGGACTCATCTTTCGTGGCAAAATGACCAGCCGCAACGAGCACTACGCATGGTTGAGCATACAATCCTTCAAAACACCTCAGGAGCTTCGTCGTGATCTCATGGAAATGGCCAATCCTGAGAGTAGTCGCGACACCTAGCTTTCACACCCCGCTACGCATATTTTACCTCCTTCTCATTCTGCATGAACTAGTTAGTCGAGCTCAATTCAAAAATCCGACACATTCTTTTCCACTGCGCCTCCAGCTTCCCAAATCCATGTTTCACGCACAATATCGTGGCTCACTATGCTCAGCTCCACGTCTAGTAGTGTGTCTCTATCAACTGTGTGCCCTGATGCATTTCTGTCCCCTGCATGGTGCTGAGGCCCTCTGTTTCGGTTGGTGTAAGACTGTCTACAGTGCCGTGGACTGTAGTCTTATCTGGGCCCCCTGACCATGCAAGAGTGTCTGAGCTGATGAATTTGGCGACAAGATGTATTGGAACAAGTAGCATGGCAGGAAGTCGAATATGGAAAGACAATCCAAACGCAATTAAACCAAGCTGGCTAGCGTTCAGTCCGTGTGAGATATAAGAGTGTTAGGTATGGCAAAGTGGAACGGCGGTGGCCTCAGCGCGACCACAATACAACTAATGTGCAAACACCTTCAGCCATTCCTGCAGAAAAACAGGGAGATGGAGCTCCGGAAGCTGAAGCTGAAAGCCCTCCGCCAGGTAAAGTTGAGACCGGGACGATTGCAGCAGGGTTGGCAGACAGTGTTGGGGTGGTTACTACCCGGTCTACGCATGCTTGACAGCTACGGCAGCGGGTGGGACAGGGTAGAAAGGTAGTAGCTCAAACTGAGAAGTTGAATAAGCGATGACACCTATTGATCGGCGACAGAGCTTCGTCCCATGGAATGAGGGGGCTCAAGCAGCACTGAGATCGACGCTCTGTACTTACTCGAAACGTTGACTGGTCGTCCGGTCGCACGGACTCATGATGTGATGTGTATCCGCTTCTCCAGCCGAATTACCAAAACAGAAGAGAAGAGCGTTTTACTCAAAGTAAGTCCATCATGCCACCCCCGCCCAACCAAGACACTAATGTAACCATGCCGCATAGTGTCAATACAGATACTGTGGCGTGCGCGCAACGACTCGCATTTCCTTCCTAGATCAATGTCTTACCCAAGCGGAGAAAGCCCGAGGTGTACAGTCTTATCACATCAAGCTGGTCTGTTCTAGTCCGAGAGTTGTGGCGTAGGTCATCGGCGGCAAGGCCGGAAAGTGATGTAGTTTCTGTTTTGCGCGGAGGCCTTAAAGTCTCGACCGTTGTACGCAACAGTTTGTCCATGGTAGTGTGGGTTTAATTAGCAAGCGAGACCTGATGCAGACACTGGCGATTCATCTCGACGCCAAGGCATCACTGGTTATGTCGTCCTTCCACCATCATCCACCGTCTGCTGCTCCCGTATATCTGTCCTACCAGCACCAGCACGTTGAGATCTCTCCAGGTCATCCTTCCACCTTAAAGCATGGCCGTTTGTATCCTGACGTCGACAGTCGCCATCACGAGCAAGAGGCCCTCGCTCCCATGCACAACTATCGCCATCCGCAGTTTCAACCGCAGCAGCCGTCGCCTCACTCGCCAGCCCAGCCGTGCTATCCTCCCTATTCTTCCCGAGATTCTCTTCCCTCGCATCACTATTCTTCTGAGTCACCGCGCCATGTCAACTACGAATATGCACCGCAGCTTCCTCCAACGCCTTCGTCGTATCGTCGTCACAGCGGGCCTTCACCATCTATTCAACCTCCGCAATCATACGAACCTCAGGGGCAGCCCGCTTACACGCCGGGGGATCAGTCCATGTATGGTGGAATGTATACGCCTTCAAGTGTGCAACCGGTAATGAAGAAGAATTCGAGAGCATCGCAGGTATAATTCTGATCCTTCTCTCTGTCCCATAGGACATGGCTAATTCGTGAGACCAGGCTTGCGACTCCTGCCGTTAACTGAAAGCGAAATGTGACGAATTAAGACCATGCAAAACCTGTAGGATTAGAGGTACCGAGTGCAAAGATCGCGACCCGCCATCGAAAGTGTCAGTTCTGTCCGGCCTCGTACGTTTTTCCCCTCAATACTGACCTTTGAGTTGCAGCGCCAAACAAACTCAATCGGATATTCTCGATGGCATCAATATAATGCGAAGAAAGCTAAATAACCTGACCAACAAAAGCGCCGAGATAAGTGAACGCCTCACAAACATCGAAACCTCTGTTTCACCCAAAAGCGACGCCACTGCCAACTTGGACCTGGCGGTGGAGGATCGGCGCAAAATAGAGGGTACACCGATCAATAGGGAGGCAATCGTCAACTACCAAGTGCAAGACCCTGGCGCTGCTACAACTGACGATCAAAGTTCCTTACCCGAGGACGAAGTTGAGGCCGAGCCTGGGCGCCCGGTTCCCCCCGGCGAGCCAGCCATCCCTCCGAACCATACAACATTAGCTGGTCTCCTGCTTTACTGGCCATCCATTCGAGCACTGATGAAGCACCATTGCGAGCGCGAAGGTATAAGTTATGTAGGAGAATACCCTATCAGCCAAGAGCAAAACCGAGGTTCGTTGATTTTGTTTGGGCGTGGTGAGGACAACATAATGTCGCGCAGGCAGCGCGAACGCGAAGCTGATCGGCAAGATGTCGACATACCAGACGGCTCACCCGACTCTCCGTCATCACCGACAATAAAAGAAGCAGACCGGGGTTACATGAGTGGCCTTAGCCCACTTGATCAAGTCGATTATACAAGCGGAGTTCTCGGCCCTCATGGCAATCCTGACTTTTCCGAGGGCACAGTTTGGCAATACGTACAAAGTTTCAACGACAACATGCTCAACATGCATCCTATCGTTCAGCCCCCAATACTCGACCAATGGGTGCGCCAGTTCCTCGAATCTTTCCCACTGGCAGACAACAAGCAAAGTAGCAAAACCAGCACAGCATGGGCTGTGAGCAGTTCAATGGAACCTCCCGGTGCAAAGCGCAAGAGGTCATCCCCGGGGCCGCTGGATAGTATTGAGAGTTCATCGGCGGCATCACCAACTACCAGAATTGCTCGACCAAATCGAACGATACATACGGCGCTCGTGCTGACCGTTTTGGCACTCGGCAAGATCTGCCTGCATTGAGACGATGTGCCCGATGCCCTTCATTTGGGTGATCCAATGCCCCGCAAAATATTTTACTTGAATGGTATCCTTCAATCGCCCGAGAGCTCGCCGCCCAGCGAGATGCGCTCGCAGTCGTCAAGTATGGCGTATCCTCGAGAACAGAAACGTCCATACCATGGTCGCCGTTCATCTCTGGCGGGCAACACTCGTTCAGGCCTGCTGAAGAACTACAAGAATATCCCTGGTCTCGAATACTTCGTCATCGCTTCAGACATTCTAGGCAACCATTTCGGATCTTACAACAGTATGAAAAATGTCTATGCCTACATTTTTGCTAGTCTCTATTATGGTCAACTTGGGCGACCGCTGGAGAGCTTTTCATTCATTCATGCAGCTGGCCACAGGCTCCAAGTCATTATGCGGCCTAGCTTGGAGAAGCTCAAAACACTCAGAAACACGAACAATCTCGCCCAAGATACCAAGTATAACCAACTTTCGCTGGCGTTTTGGACGTGTCTGCAGCTGGAGAGCGATTTACTTGCTGAACTCCCTTGTCCAGCTTCAGGCCTCTTGAATTATGAAATGGACATTCCGCATCCAAATATGAGCTTGCTCGAGGGCTTTCCCCAGCCAGTTCTCGACAGTTACCTTGGTCAGCTTTACCTGCGAACACATCTCAACAGTATTCACCGCATGTTTTACGCACCGTCTGATGCAAAGTCAGACAAAAGAGAGGATATTCCATGTAAAGATGTCGATTTGGTCTCTGCTGCGGTTTCGTCCATGGCATGGGTTGCGCCAAGTTTCGCCTTTAGAGAAGACGATCCTCCTGCCTCTGACATTTTATCAGCCAGACTCCGCGCCAAGTACTGGGGAGCTGAAGTCCTGACATTTCGCCCCTTCTTGAGGCAGATGTTGCAGTTTTCATTTGCTAAGAGACACCCGAGCACAGGACAGCCTTCATCAGAGTTCCACGCTGAAGTCGAAGCCCCTCGCATTGATCCTCAGGCAAAGAATGTACAGGACTTAGACCCTCACATTCTCGAACTCGCTGAGAAGGCCATCAAAGCTCTTGTTGAGAGCACAAGGGCTTTCCATGGACTTGGCGGCAAACGGCCCATCATTACAAGTGTGTTCGGCACCGCGCACGCCCAATGGGGCAACTTGCTCGTCTTGTCCGCCGCTTACAAAGATCCGATCATGGGTAAGTATGTTGATAAAAAGCTCCTTCGCCATTTATTCCAGAAGACGATTGCCTTTTTGCGCCAATCCGCTACGGCCACGAGCTCGTTACGCATCGACATGCACATTCTGGAAGGAATTCAGAATGACTTCTGGGGCATTAAGTCCTACAGCAACAGCAACAACAACAACGACAACAACAACAACAACAACAACAACAACAACAACAACACCACGTAATACCTAGCAGGCAATGCGCAGGCGATACTGCGTCGAAAAGTTCAATCTCCTCGATATAAGATAATAACTTCTCACATTTCCCACTTAAATCGGCTTCGCGGCAACTTTTAATCTTGTGAATTGGTGTACGTTTATTACTGCACCCGTCCATCGTCCATGGGAGCATCTATGCTAAGTTATGCAGTGCATAAAGCGACTCAGCACTCGATGAGCTCTGATCTGGCGTGCATATCTAGCTAGTGTGTGGGATATGTTGGGGCTTGCAGGTGCTAGGATCAGTGGAGCAAACCTGCTTCAGTACATGCCCAGCCTCGTCACACCGCTGCAGTGTGTGTGTCACAGTACTGGCAAATTGTCATGTCTGGCGGAACTAAATTTGGAAGACGCAATCTGGTACAGTAACGATCCGCTCTCACTGCGACGGACGATGGAAGAAGGGAGGGGTGCTCCTTCGTCTTGACGTCTTTCCACTTCAAGAGGCGGCTGCGGTAGAGAGGTCCTGACTGACTTAGCAACAGTGCGCCCCACCCCCCTGTCTGTTCGGTAACTTTGATGTCAATCCCGAAGACAGACTGAAGGGCAACTTCAGGCAGGACGATAGAACAGGGGAAGGGGTGGCATTATTGCTGCTTGCCCAGAGCGCCCCGTTATTGCCATCGGACCAAAGCTTGACCTTTTTCACTAGGGTACTGGCACTTGTATCAGCAGTAGTTTTCATCTACATAGCTCCCTTGCTCATTTTAATAAAGAGCTAAAACTGGCGTCTTGGTGGCGTAACGAGTAATGAGGCTGGCCGCACAGCCAGGCCCCTCCTCATAGAATACGCAAAGCCCGACATACTCCAAGTGCCATTATTATGTTAATATTATATTAATATTATATTTATTAATACAGTATAATACATGCTTTGAAGGAGATGATGTCCACTTGGATACAGGTTGCATACAAGGTCATTCAACGCCGGCCTTTCAAATGCCAAAATGTCCCGCAGATCGCAGAATCTCCGGACCGTCTCCATCCCATCGTGCACCCACTCGTTCAGGCCCTTTACTATACCTCATCATACATCTCCTCCTCCCTAAGAGAAAAGCTCTTTACAGATATGCACTTGGTTCTGACTCGATGGAAAACTAAGCAACGGCCAACCAAGGTTGTGCGACGCTTATCAGGTTTTCAGCCGCTGCTTCCCTTCCTACTTACACATGAAGACGTGGCTAACAACGCCGTCACTCTTCTCTCTGCGCGTAACTAACTTGGCAATTACGCTTACACAACCTCACCAGTGCCCAGGTAGGTCATTAATCATACCTAGCCATACAGGGGCCGTTTGCACATCGCTGCGGGCGGGGCGCTGACCCGTTATAGTATCAACGGTCGACACCGGAGCCAACCAGCTTAGCTGGCTCCAAACACACACATCTATCTCCTACCCGGATGCGATGGAGAGGAGACCCGAGAACATCAGATCAGAACTTAGAGATCATTCCATGCCACCGCTCCCACCCTCACAGCGCGCCGAGATGTGGGATGTCACAGAAGACGACTTCTGGCGTAGGAATGCCATTGAGCGCCACGACCAATTCTCCCAACACTCCCAGCGTTGGAATCGCGACAGATCATCCATCATAGCCCACATACGCGGTGCCAAGGCCGAAATCCGTGAACTCGGAGAACAGGAGGGCAAGCTCAGTCGAGAGCTTGCCGCTATTCGCAGTCGGACGGCCCTCGTCAATGAGACATACAGCCAGGAAGCCCAACGCTTGAACAGCATAGACACTCAGCATAGCGTGGAGAAGCAAGGTCTGGTCAAGAAGCACGAAAGAATCGAAGCTCAAATGAACGACTGGTTTCGGCGATGCAGAAATCAAGACGGTGTCAACGAACGACGACTGGCATTGCCAGAGCTTATTGACAGGAGGCCCCCGGAGAGACAGCTCAAGCTGCCGCCGCTGGCAAATTTGCACCTTCCTAGAGAGATGCCCAAGAATGACGATAGAATGGTTGCCATCATCGACTCCGCTGTGCAACGGGCCACTGTCAAAGCGTATTCATCGCACTGCAGTCCACCGCAGGTACAAATGTCTGGGTTCAAAGCCGTGAATCAGGCTGTCAAGTACGAACCGGCCTCACCAGTACCCAGCGCCGTCCCATCTCTAACAGCTTCCAGCAGCACCAGTTACCCGAGGAGCCCCAAGGCCTCGGCCTCGGAATGCTCCATTCCGCGGCCAAGAGCGAAGATATTCTTTGGCCCAATGGATGCGGCGCCAAGCTCAAATGACATTACAAAAGAAACGCTCATCTTACGGCACGACGGCACTTTCTATACATATCCCGAATGTATCGCAGGAGTGCCTTTGGAAAAGATAACCCCAAGCCATCCATATTGGGAGACTAAGTGGCCCGAGTTGCAAACCTTGACAGAGCCGATCCTGCGCTCGTGGGAGGAAAAGTTTCAGTCGGTGGAGGCGGCCAGCAGAGTCCAGAATGGTGGTGGCAGCGTCAAGTATCAATACGGAACGCCAAGTCAACCGAGGCAACAGGATTCTCAAGTTTTTAGAGCAAGGGCCAATCAGCCCGTATCAGCTTCTAGCCAAAAAATACGTTAGCGTGGGCAAGGGCAGCATAACTTCCTACGACACCCTGTTTCGGCTCTGCGAGACAATCGAGGCGCTGGCCAACTACAAGACAGATGTCGGGCCCGTCGACTGGATGCGTCAGCGTCTGCACGAGTTGATTACGGCGCAGGGCTCTGACTTCAACTTTTCCAAGACCATTCACGGCTTCTACAACGATCCCAAGCTGGCAGCGCTCCGCCAGAAATCAGGATTCAAGACCATCGGGCGACCTCCGGGCGTCAATGTGCCTTCGACGTCGAGCCAGCGCAAGCGCAAGCGCAAGAGCCCTCCATCATACGGCACGCCAAGCCCACGGGCTAAGCCGCCCAGTGCTAAGCCTTTGACGGCTAATCCTTTTGACGCCGACCAAGACCCGGAGGGAAAGAAGCAACAGGCGGTAACCAAGGTGCTAGACAGCCTGAAGACGGGCGAAGTGTCGGATGCGGACTCGGTGAGCGGGGCGACGATTAGCGGGTTCGATTTCCGAATCTACCAGATCAAGACGCGGCTGTTTACGAGCTCGGAGAAGGCGACGCAGTACTGGAGATGGGTGCCGGAGAACAGCATGTTTGAGCACCAGGTCCCGCATGACAGGAACTCGGCGGGCTGGAGCATGCACCGCGAGCCGGTCGACTTCAGCGTGCGCCTGGAGGACGTGGTGAAGATTTCGTGGAACCTCAAGGCGCTGCGGGTGTACCTGGTGATGAGCGACAGGCACATCTGCTTCGAGGATAACAAGCCGAGGGGAGACGTCATGGTGGCGTTTAAGCGGTGGAACACGATGAAGAGGTTCATGCAGTTTTGCCGACGCAAGGAGATTGAGCTGGTGGAGGGAACATGGTGAGCACTCGAGTTGCATCGCTATAAGAGGCCCATATGCTGACGAACATTGTTACAGGAAGAAGATGGAGCATCTATGGGGGACGATGCACCCGCAGTGACTGCTGACGGGCGAAGAAGCTGGCGTGAGGATGCAGGAATAGCTTTGCAAGCCGGAGCGGCGGCGCTATGCTTGACGCCTGACCCTCGGAAGGCATGGAGGGCTACATAGGGACACTCGGTTCGTTGGAGGATCACTGGGCTTTCAACCACACCATCTTCATCGCAACGTTTAGCAACGCGCCCACGAGCAGAAGTCCGTCCGAAAAAGGTTCTATATATAAAGGACAGCCGCGTGCTGTTGGAAATCTGCTTTGGCCGTTTGAGTCCGCCGGCATCATGTACCTGTTAGGACCACAAACCTGTACTGGGGGCCGTCACGCGGCAGGTTTGTTCGCTGCCCAGATGCGCATCTAAATTCGCAGTACCTCTTGATCGAAACATATAATACTATGATTTAATATAAGCAGCAAGCGCCTCTGCTTGACTTGGACAGGGAGCACTAGCTTTTCATGTCCTAATTCTTGAAGAGCACTTTAGCCACGTTGTGCCAAGGCGCCTCTGGCTGGTTACCAACCAGTGATAAATGCTCCTACATTGATTCTTTCTTTGCGGGACGCGTCAAAGGGGCGTTTCTATAACTGTATCGATAACGGTGTATTGTGAAGTGAAGACACGAGCCCAGCCACTGGCCCGCGAGTTCGCCTTTTGGAAGCCCTTTGAAGGCTGCCATGACTCGGCAGGCTGTTCGCGCGGCTTTTATTACTGGCACATGGCAGAGCGTCGTGTCAATAGATATGTTGGACGGGCAGCTGCAGTTTGGCGGCCAGCTACGCCCGGATCGGTGTCACGAACCAAGAGAGATCATATGCAAGAACGCAATTCTAAGATACCAGACAGATGGCCAGCTGGTCATGCACGACCCTCCGGAAGAACTTGTAGTCTGTCCAGTCCGCTTCGTAGAACTCCTTGATGGCTTCAACGCGTATGTCGCTCGCCCTCCCTGCTTGCCGACTGCCTTCCAGGAGAGAAACGTACCCAGCGCAGATTATGTGGTGCGAGGCGCACTGCGCAGCGCTGTCGATGCGCTCACCAGCACGACGGGACGGCAATTTCGACGCGGCACCTGCACGAACAAGGTTCTGAGTCTTGAACCAGGAAACCGAGCTTTCACTTCATTTTTTAGTCCCCGTCTACTAGATCGACGAGGCATTGCTGGCGACAGGTCAGTCAAAGCGCGGCGGCGGCATAGTCGACAGCAGTCATCTCCGACCACGCAGACGTTTGAAAGACCATGCTAGCCCCTCATGTCTGCAAGCCGCAAGTCTGCGCCCCGACATATCTACACTATCCCTACAACATCTACGGCTTGGGTGAGCGGGGCTTTGGCAAAAGGATTGTTGACTGGCTGACACAAGTGCTTTAACATACAGTCCATACAGCTCAAGCTATCCGCGGCCGCTCCTGGAGACGACCTCAACATGCTCCCGCACGAGAAATGTCGACTGCGCCGCGACCAGCGCCAAGGCGGTGGCTCGGCACGTTGACACTTCTTTTCTGCTTTCCACCTGCCCCAACACACGCTACAAACGACGTGGCCTGCATCGTCAGCGGCCTGGAACTGGTTGCGCATTCGGGGCTGCCTACCGCATGGCGTAAACAGAGGGTCGTCCGCGTCGTCGCAGACAGGGCAGTGTCTCCGGTCATACTGCTTCACAAACGTGTTCTGCCGCAGTCAGAGTCGGGCCGTTTGCCTTTCAGTCAAGGAGTGCTGCCTCACCGGTTTGTCCAGGAAATTCTGAATGTCCGCGCAGTCGATGTCGTCGGCCTCGCCCGCCAAGGCGCAGACGAGGCACACGCGCCAGTTGTGCACTCGAAGCAGCGACACGATGTCGGCGCTCTCGTCGCAGAGAAGCTGTCTCTGTCAGAACCTCAACCTGCTTGGTCGTTCGTACCTACATGTCCATGGATGCGGTGTTTCGGCTCGTCGTCGAGAAGTGCTCGGCAGTTGAAGCAGAGCTGCTCGACCCCGGTCAGTTCCACGACTGTCTTGAAGTGGTCCATCTGTGATGCTGTCGCCACGTCGTGCATAGCACAGATCCCTCGCCGCAGTGGCAGCAGAGGGTCGGTCGACTAAAATGCTTTTCTGGCCGTGGCCTTGTCGGGCGAGGAGCCGGAACCTGACGCCCAAGGCAGCGATTCGAATTGCTGGAACGGCATCCGCTTTGGTCACGGTCTATATCGTCCGTTGTTTCGCGCGGCTGGGTCTGGCCGTGTGTCACCGCACCCAGTCGCCAATGTTCGCCCGACAGACAGCGTCGCCCGACAGACAGCGTCGCCCGACAGACGGCGCCGGCTTGTACAGGATCCGCTGAACGGCAGAAGCATTCCGAGCCATCCTCGCCACCGGCTGCGCTGTATGTGCAGTGCACCACCTGCAGCGGGGGCTCTCCCGCGGGCCCGCGGGCGAGCGGGAGGGCAGCGAGAAATGGCTCGGCACGAGGGATATTTATGGCACGAGGGATATTTATAGCAGGGCTACCGCGCGCGGCGCGGCGCCCCAGGACGGCCACACGGAAAGGAACAGGCCAACATGACTACACATCTACTAATAAACCTCGCGAAGCAGTTGCCGTGCGTCATCGTCATCGTGACGACTTTTGTCATCGTGATGGGCAAAACTGCTGACAAGGAAGGCTTCTTCCAGTGGACGGCACGGGTATCGCATGACACGAGACGAGGCTTGTGAGATCTCCTCCAGTCGGCGGGGTCGGATGTGGCCAAGTCGCTGTTTACGTCGGCGCGCATCAGCACATCTCACATTTGCGGCACCATGGCCGGCCGTGACGAGATATGTATCGCATTCAACGTCTTTGTCTGCATCGCCGCCGCCATCCTCTTCTTCTTGCTGCTCTCGCTCGCGTTTTGCGTTGCTGTGGCGGTGATGGCCAGCCCACCCCGCTTTGTGAGCGGGGTCGGCGTCTTTTGCCAGAGGATCGGACTCGCGTTTGTCGTGGTGGGCTTCGCGTTCGCGATGGGCACGCATGAAATCGGCGCACAGCTGCAGCAAGCCCTCGGTGGCCAGTTGAAGACCGGGGTAGCATGGGTCGGGGCAGCCGTCACTCTCGTGTTTTCCATCCTTGGACTGGCCGTGGACGCCTACTTCTGGTACCGCGATCGTAGGTTGCCTACCCCGCAGGAAGGCGAAGCGCGTTTTGCGGATGAGCGCGACGTTCGGGGTGTGCGGGACGGCGGCGGCTACGCATCGTAAGCTCAACAGAACTGCAAGTGGTCGGTGCGGTGCCGGGTCACAAGATCAGCACTGTGAGACGAAAGGCCTTGGTGGCCAAAATACACCGTAAACATCGATAGAGTAGTAATTTTGCTTTCGCACCCCGTATCGCAAATTGGTGACTGCAATGTCAAGTGTAGAGAACAAGTGTAGAAAAGAGTGACAGACGAAACCGGCGCAACGTGACTGGCGGGCATCCTGTGAAATGGGCGACGGCGCCAAGTGAGGCTCTTTTTGACGAATTTTTCGCCGTACTTCACCTAGATAGTTCCGGGTAGATGGCCTACGCGCTTCACAGCCAATAATGACTGCCGCTATTGTTCTTGCTCATGCCGAAACGCAACATTCGTTGGCTTCTGTCTACGGCCCGAAACCACTGCAACAGCGACATCTTCAGTCTCATGCCAACATCCATTACTGCATGCTATCCAGGGTAAATGACGACATCAGGAGCTGCATGCCGCCGCCTGCGGGTTCTCAGGAAAACCTCCAGGGTAGGCTGGCTAGTGGAGCGGCATCCGGATCACGATGCACGACGCGGGTACCGACAAGTAGCCATATTCTGCCTTGGCAACTTTGAACTGCGTAGCTTCTGGCGACTTGTGGTGAAAACGGGCTCTTTCGACTCAGACGCATTTGGGGCTACGAGCGGTCTGTTTTGTCCCTCTTGGACGTGCACACCATTCCTCCGTATCTACGCCAATCCGGGCTGCCTCGTTGGACTTCAAAATATAGCCGGGTCGTGTTCCGCCGCTGATCGTCTATTCCCATTGGCCAAATTTTGTCTTCCTCTAGAGGGTCCACTGCTCCCGTGGAAAATAGCTTGACGCTGAAAAAGCCAAAAATGGGCACGCAAAGCTTCCGAGAACCCTCAGCCTGATGAATCCAGTCTAGCCCGATGAAGCTTCGATCCCTAACCTCCATACCAGTCACGGGTTGTCAAAGTGCATGTTGAAATCGGCCTAAGTAATGCGCAAATTCGGCATTGCCATCTAGTATCGAAATTACGTATCGCCGATTCCGCTCGTCAATAGCCCCTAACCTTCGCTTTCACACCTCGCCCTGTTAATCTAGAATCCGTCCCTGAATACACAGGGCAAGCAAAAAATGACACAGTCTTTCCATATCCGCGGGATCAACAATCTCAAATGGACCATACCGCTTCATTTCAAGGAAAGCTTCAGACTGGCTGACATTTGTGATGTAGTCAATGTACGCCTCGTCGTAACTGCCGATTGTAATGAACACATCCCGGCGGTTCTGCGAAATAAGAGCGCGTCGATATTTGCGTCTCGGCTCCTTCCTTTCCGCCGGCTCCGGGAGTGCCGCAGGCTTGCTCGTCATCCCCTTGCGTTTTCCCAGAGTGGCTCTCTTGAGAGCTATCTGCTTGTCGAGTTGCGGATATTCGGCGATCCAGGCCGCCATCTGCGCAGACTCCTGCATGTTGACATTCATCTCATTTGTGCTTCGGCTATGCGGCTTGACCTCGGCGATCATGTTCCCCGGTAGGTCGCGCTCTCGTCGGAACACGCCGTCAACACGAGCTTGGTAGACCTCCTCAGCGCCGTCACGCACGGAAAAGGGAGACCGGTAGGGGCTCCAAAACCCCTCCACATATGGGGAGGTAAGTACGAGAGTGTCCAAAAGCAGTATCAGCGCAAAGTTGACAATCTGTTCATCTTCAATGAACCTATACACCTTGTCTGCGATGCTGGGGGGAATTGGAGTGCCACAGGTAGGGCTAAACAGGTATCTGGGCTCGTCTCCTCCAGCTGGTGAGGAAGAGCCATCTCCTGACTGCTGCTTAGGCGTGTGCAGGCTGAGTTTCTCCATTCTCGGTGGCAATTCTTCACTGGGCTTGGGCGTCGGGGAGCCTTGTTGTTCGGCGCGGGTCTGACTGCGAGTTACCCTTCTTTGGACAGTTATCTTTGAGCTGTCTACTTCCCGCCTGGACTCCGAGTTACTGATGAGCTCGGATGATCGCTTCTGATATAGACGAGCCATTTCAAAGGGTCCAAGGACCTCCTTCTCAGAAGAGATGCTCCTAAGATACGCCATGTATTCCTGGCAGGAGCCGAGGCATTTCTTAGTGATACTCCACGTTTCTTCCGTGACTGCACCGTGGTCGAAAAGCTTCTCGAGGTCCAACCGAGATTTCGGTTGATAAAGAGCCCGCAGCATAAGGAACTGGGGTAGTTCGATCTTGGAGGCAGAATTCAATCGACTAATTGTAAAGAGGGTTTCACCTTTAAGGCCCATTTCCTCTACCTGCTTGTGCCACAGCGGCTTTGAGGTTGGAAGTTGCGGAGCAGTCATGCTTGCGGTTGATAAAAGGGTTGAGAATAGTATATATGGTGTGTGCTAAAGTGAATGTGAGGAGTGTTGGAGTAGTCAGGGATAGAAGGGGACAAGCCGTATTCATATACCTGGGCGAGTTAATGTTAGAGCCGCCTCTGCTTCTTTCTCTCTTTCCCCCCTTTCCCTCCTCCCCCCCTTCCCTTCTTCTCCTCCTTTCTCGTCCGCCCGCGACATGGCATCGTCGTACAGTGAGTGTGCTTGAGGGGATTGGCTAGATGCTCTCTTGGGCCTCATGGGAGGGGGAATTGCATGCAGCTTGCCATGGAGCTGGCGAAGTTCCCTGCAACTGCGGCGCGCGCTGGGCGCTTAATGCTCAACGGCCATTTGTGGACTTGGTCTTGGTCATGTGGGGAAGGGGGCAAGTGTAGGGTATGTGAGATGGTGTGGAAAGGGGAACTTCGTTTCTTCTAGTTATCTGGTCTTTGCTATCCGTACCGTTACCTATGTAGTCATGGGCCGGGACGCGTGACAAGGTACGTACATAATTTGTGAGTGATTTCGCTGTCAGAGATGGGGGAGGCGGAACTCTGGCCAGTGCGTACCGGTAATAGCTTGCTCTCCTTTCTGCTGCAATACGTCCCTAATATTTCGTGACCCCGTTACTCCGTGCCCACACAGCCTGAATTACTTCGTATATGCAGGTCGTCCCCAGTATTTTCTGCATCTTGGTTCTTCCGTAGTTATGTAGATGGCTGTCCCGTGTCATCTGTTCTTAGCGTCGGCGGCGAAGCCACTGCCTCGAGTTGAGTAGGCGGCTACAAGGATTGGCTAAGCAGGCATCTCTCTGGCTTACAAAGTCGGGCCGCTACGTTTCCTGCTACAGTAGACTGAGCCAAGAGTACCCAACTGGTCAGGGATAACACACAACAAACCATGCACAAGGCTCGATCCTCAACAACGCAGGTTCCAATGCGGCCTTGGTTTTGCTGCTGGGGCAGTGGGCGGGGCAGCCAGCAGATCAGTGACATGAAGCGCCCAGAGACAAGCGTCGAAAATCGTTTATCCGTCATCTGCATTCGCATTTCTACTCTAGGCTTTGTATTCTAGGCTTTCTGTTACTCAATGCATATAGTAGGTAGGGACCCAGCCTCTGCGGTACGGGCATGGCAACCCAGCTATCGGACAAAGCCCGCGTTAGAGATGGGAGCGTTGGGCCGGATGGGTCCAGGAAACAAGTGTGGGATAGGTACGCATGTTCAGTTCCCCTGACCGGTTGAGGATATTTGACATCTACCGGGATCAGGGACATGAATTACACGCCCAGAGGGAAATTATCCCGGCATGTAGGTACCTCCGTAGCGCTGTGGCGCTCAGCGCCCTACCCAGGATACTAAATTGTTTGTTTACTTGTTGTGTTAGGTGGGTCCAGGCGAGGAAGTTGCTCGACACCCATAAAAGGCTTCTTTGGCCTCCACCGAGACTTGGAATAATCATCATCAATCAACCATCAATTGTACAAAAAGACGACCCAACCCCGTGCAGCGAGTCCTTCAAATCACACCGTTCGCATCACGCCCCTCAGCACCATCAACAAGACTTGGGGGCATGCATCAAACAAAGCAATCAAACGACGCGTCGCAGTCAGAGAGCGCTGATGTGACGACATTTCTCCGAGAGACCCTTCAGCCACTCTTGGACTTTAAGGAACCCGGCGTTCTCGACCCAGTTCTAAAAGACTACCATGCCACTGTCATACCCCTAGACTTCACCACCGGCGCGCCTTACAACGGCGCTCCCACCCTTATTCGCCTTATGGACATAGCAGTGCTGAGACGCGCTATTGACGAGATAAAGCCCTGGATAGAATCGGACGGGTCTACGGACAATTATGATTATCAGCCACTCCTGGATTCCGTCGACAAGCCGTACCGTCATCGTAATAACGCCGAATGGTTCACGTATACTGTTAAAGTGTACTTAGACACTAACCAGGACACGAACTCTTCCGACACTTTGCGAGGCAGAACATCCTGGGAATACGGCGGGTACGTTGATTTTGCCTGCTTTCCTTCTTTTGTTTCTTTCCCTCCCTTTTTTGCCTCAGATAGACTACATGGGCAACGGGTCAATGCCTGCACTTTTATGCTAACTATGCCTTCCATTGCAGCGGCGAGGGCACCAATCGCTACCTATACAACGACGACGATAACTACATCTGGAAGTCTGGCTCCGTGTTCATAAACCTACTGCCCTCCGAGCCTCGAGAGCCCGATCCTCGCAAGCCACATGTCATCCATCATGTCATTGACTCCACGCCGTGGAAGTCGGGCACGCTCCGAACGAGCGAGTTTAAGACCATTGTTTTTATCGCGGCTGCGAACAAGCTCAAGGCTGCGTACAAAGGCCTGGACCACTTTGGCGTGAGTTCCCCCAACGGCCCGGCCCGGCCCAGGCGGCTGACAACCCGCGACAGGTGACTGTGATTTCGTTCTGGAATTGGGAGGTCAGAATAGTGCAGGGGCTGGTCAATTTCAAGACGCGCGACGTGGACATTCGTGTTTCGCTGGCTCAGGGCTTTCGCGATGGCTTCCGTAATGACGACGGCTCTATCGACCCTCGCTTCCTGACGCTTCTGGCGTACAACCTTGGCGAAGTTCTCCATTTCGCCGAATAACGGTTTCTCCAAGGAGGGATTTCTCCAATATGGTCTTCGCCAACCATTCTCTTTTGGGATCTCATCGAAGTCGTATCCTCCTTGCTGGCCGAGCACCGATGTCGAGTGTATGAAGCGTTGATGAGCAAAAATTTACGGAGTGTTTGTGGGCGAAATTTTTGTTCTGGGGGGTTTACAATCCATTATTGGCTTTTCCCCCTCGAGTGGACAGGCGCGGGCAAGGACATGCTTTGTGTGCTGATGAAAGCTACATCAAAACTGTAAGGCGCCACCACCTTACCGTAAAAACCGTTATGGGCGTCGTGGGTTTCTAACATACTAATTTTAGTGGGGTGTATTTTGGCTGCTGCCTGGAGAGCCAGAAATAACGGTTCTGAATTACTTCGCGAGGCAACTAAAATTAACTAAAAGCACTAGCGACACCCATAACGGTTTTTACGGTACCCTTGACCCCCCGACCTTTTGGTTCCCCAGAGCTCGCTATTTCTAGGTCGCTCAGCAGCCCGCGGGATTTTCGCTGCTGCCTAGCTTTGCCTCTAGCTAGATACAACGTACTGATTGGCTGTGCATGCCTTGTACCACTATTCTGCCGCCTCTCTGGTTGCCGACACTGGCACTCCCCTGCTTTCTTTACAAAAAAAAGGTTGCGCAAGGTTGGTCGGGTGTCGGCAAAGGCAATCTGCTGGTGGCTGCCAGCCAAGGCACATCCGCACCTGCTGAAAGTTAAACCTCTCCAGCGTACGATGCGATCAAACCAGATGGCCGGCCCGTGGCGGGACTGCATCCACATCAGATCAAAGAAGGCCACTCACGTTCGAAATTGTTCCGCGTAGCACACCCCTTCCCCCACCCCCTCCCCCTCCTCTCCGCTCTCACATGCGGCTATGATTGGCCAACGGGCTCTTGCTTTTAATAATACCGCGTGGTTTGGTTGCTTTTTAAGTTGGGAGTTTCGGACACTGTGAACCTCCCTCCATCATGTGCACCAGAATTCCTACGCCATGGAGCAAAGGCACCTACGAGTACGCCAAACCGCGTCAGACCTCTCCAAATGGAAGAGTGATTTGGACTCTCCTGTAATAAGCTACGTAACTTGAATTCTTTCGCTGTCGCGAGGATGCGCCACCCACTTGTTGCCTTGAGGCAAATGAGCAGACTTGCAGCAGAGCACCCGTCCATTTCAATCCAGCTGTGGCTTAATGTTGTCATCCAAACTTGGCGTTTATGTGACGAGGATGCTTGAAAGAAAGCCTAGCATGTCTATTTTCGCCTCCAATGCCACCCTGCTTTTCGGTCCTGTTGCAACAGCGCATGGATCTGTCGTTAGCATTTTTAGGCTAGGCAGCTGGCAGCTGCGCCAATGCAGAGGCCAGATCTGGACAGCAGTGCTACCGCCTAGTAGTTGAGCTCTAGGTGGACAGCTGCTCTCAGTATGAGTTCTGTGGCACCGGTCCTGAATACTGTAAATCTGGTGCCGGCGAGGTAATGGCGAGCGACAACGGCGATCGTGGCGACTATATCTACAAAAATAATGCTAATGGCTCGATTTACCGATTCGGGGACGCGGAGGACTGCCACCGCATCTGATATGAGTATGGAGCGCGTAACATCAGCACATATTTCCAAAATGCCGTAGCTGTGCCTGCCGCTTTCTTTGATCGATATGGTCTTTACTATATACGATAGCGCACTAATACAGTACACCACTGGAGCCGCTCTAACTAGTCCAAGTACCAAAGCCACCAGCGAGCCATCTGTTGCCGTCTCAAATTTTCCACTTGCTGCTGAGCTGGTGACCACACTTGTGGGCACCGTTGTCCCTTTTGCGCAGGTTGCGATTGCATCCAGCCTTGTTGTCCCAGTGCGGCCTGTTGTCCCAGTGCGGCCTGTTGTCCCAGTGCGGCCTGTTGTCCCAGTGCGGCCTGTTGTCCCAGTGCGGCCTGTTGTCCCAGTGCGGCCTGTTGTCCCAGTGCGGCCTGTTGGTATGGATATGGTGGTTGCTGAAGCATTTGGGAGGGCTTTTGGTGCCAGCGTTGCTGGACGCTGTTCTGTTGACACGATGCTGGCTCTGCAGACGGCTGCAATGCGTGAGCGATCTGCTGTTGGTTTGACCCGTGCTGTTGAGATGGCAGTTGTATCTCTTGGCGTGCAATCAGCGGCTGTGTCAACTGCGTGGGCAGTGGTGGTGCTGAACCGGTTCTCCCCCATGCCTCGATTCCCATCATGCTTTGTCGAGTATCTCCCACGAGTGCGGCTGCTTGCGCAATTTCCTGATTCTCTTTTGAAACCCCATCTTCGCCGTCTTCTATTTGTTTAGCCCACTCCCCGATCAATCCATCCACGCCACCAACTAGCCCTTGCATCTTCGCCATACCGCGTGGCGGCTCGTCAACATCAAAGAACCTGCCCAGAACCTCGGGTATGAACTTCTGCACCTCCCGTCTCATCTCCTCCACTCTGGCCCTGGTACTGCTTTTTCCGGCAATGCTTCGCCACGGGCAGGGGCAAGCCTCCAGAAAAAGAACCTCCACCACTGACAGGACCGCGCCCCACGCAGGTTCAGCAAATCGATGACCATACCCTGCTCGATCATCTTCTAGTCGTCTTCGAAGTGTTTCTTGACCAGGTGGGCTCTGAAAGAAGTTCATATTCTCGCGCACAGAGCCCATCACTGACGACTCGATCTCTTGGCTGTGCCTCTCAATCTCTTCTTTCAAGCGACACGCGCTGAGTTCCTCAGATTCGTAAAACTTCTGGAGTACCGATCACAAACCGTCACGGATCTGGGCGTTCATGTTTCCTTGCCGCTGTCTGGTGAAGCTTGAGGTCTCGTCAAACCAGTCCACAACATGCTCCAAAACACGCGCCATAGTCGTGGCTTCTACCGGGGTTGTCTGGAGCAACCATTGGACGTCCGAGAACTGTAGCTCATCAGTCTGTAAATGTTTCAAGACAGCCTTGTACTCTTCGTTGTCAAAACTCAGGAGAAAGTCCGGTCGCCGCTGAAGTATACTCTGCTCATGAACTACGATTTGCCGCGGAAAGAAGAAGGAAGCCCGTTCTTTCTTGTTCAAGCCGGGCATCTCGCGCATCAATGCGGTCCAATCGTCGATCTCGATCCGCCTGCCGAGATTGTGCGGTAGCGCATCGAGAGTGTCGAGAACGGATTCCATGCATCCTAGCCAGAACTGGAGCCAGTCAGCCGCGTGTCTTTCTTCGTAAATGAGTGCCTTGTCATTGTACCTTGTCAGTCCTCAGGCTGAACATGTGTGAAAATTTCCCAATGTCGAAGTTGGCTCGTCCGATCGCCGTCTCACCCCACCAAGGTTGTTCGCCACGAGCCCTCGGCCCACAAGTTTGCCATCTCATCGATGGGGAACTGATCCACCAGTCGCAACTCCCGTCTCAGCACTTCCACGACCGCATTCCTATCAGCGTTGAATCGCGCCGGGTTGCGCTTGCCTGCGAGAACTGCCTGTGACCACACCTCTACATCGCTGATGGCGAGCCGCTCTGGGTGACTAAGTTGTGATCGGCGAGCCTTGCGCGGCAATGGTTGACCGCGTTGTAATAGGCGAGCCTGGCGCCGCAGTTTCTCTGTCCTTAGATCTAGCAATTGTCAGCTGCTGCACCATGTCTCTATCGATCGTCTACTCACCTCGTGCCTTCGAGACTGTTTTCGGCAGCTTTCTGCGACGACACGAAGTTTTGAAGAGTTTTGCTTCCCACCTGCCCATGGTGATGAGCTCGCGTACTTCGAAGTTCCGCGTCGGCGAGAAAAGAAAAGGAAGAAGAGTGTCTGGTAGAGCGAGGAGCACATTTCAAGTAGGCGAACACGGTGGTAGAGGGCACAACGCCAAAGCGATTGGGTGCCTCGCAACCAGGCCAGCGTGATCTCGGCGCTGTCGTCTGCTGTGGTGGTCCATACCAAGTACCGTCATCAAACCTGCCCTGTTGAGCAGCTCGCGTTGGGTCAGGAAAGCAATAAGGCTGCGAAGATGTTGCAGTGGGGCGCTTGACCTGGGGCCCAGAGCGGATTCTAATAAGAAGACAAGAGGGGTGATGGGAGCTGTGGAGCTCCGCTGCCAACTAACAAAACAAGGCTACGTGAATAAAGCTTCATCATAGGGCAGATTCATAGGCACATCGCTGGAAATAGTACATGCATCTGTCGTAAAATTTAATTGATTGTTGGATGGACAGAGGTTGTGGACGTTGACCAATCCCCCAGATCACCGGTGATGAGCACGCGCGGACTTCGTATTGCCGTTCTTCGCCGAGCTGCTCAGCAACAGCGAGCCTCCAGCCTGCGCATACGTCGTCGGTTAGACTATCCACCGCCTCTTGTGCGCGGGCCTTCCACGGTTCCGACGAAGATTATTGGATGGTCTCCATTTTGCGTGGTAAATCCGAGGATGATCTTCGGGTCGAGAGGCATTTCTCCGACCCTGCGTGCAGTGTGTTCTCGAGGCACCGTCCCCAGCTCTGAGGGCCGTGCCGACGTATGCGCCTGGGAAGACCCTACCCTTGCCCTCACTCATCCACTTTGCGCCACTGACCTGTTTTTCGCTGCACGAAAGCCAACGCCGACACATCAAGGTGACTCCTAACAATACAGCCCTCCTCGTGGTTCCTACACACCACCACGCTAACGAAATCTGGCTCTATGGGCCGCTGAGGCTCGCCGGAAGCATCTCTTGCCTCGACACGGAGTACGATTCGGCAAGCACGTCCAGCAATGGCGACTGCGAGTCCACCCGTCATACGTTCATGCACTTTCGTCCTCGATGTAGTGTATCGAACCAGCGAAGCAAGGATTGGACTGGAGCTACAAGCCTTCCGTGGATCCACACTTCGGACCGCGGCCACCGCCTGCCCAGCGGCCTTCCTGGAGCTTGAGCAGTTCGCGACTGGCTGGGATTAAGAGACATCCTTCGAATTCTTGCTGTGGGCAGCTCGCCAACGACTGGCGCCAGTATTACATCTCGAGATTATTGTTTTTCAAGCACAGATGTAAAACATTCTACAGTGAGGAGCATGGCTTTCCTTCCGAGCCGAAATTGACCAGCCCCGCAGAGGGACTCGCTTGAAAAAATCGGGCTAGCTCTCCATTCGGCCCTTTTTGAGCACGAGTGCAATTTCATCGCACCCACTCTCGCAGATGACGGGATGCAGTGGCGGGTGGTCAACGTCTTTCACTGGTTGCACCAAGTATTCGGTTCAACGAATAGCATTGTATAGCCATGTTCAGGCCGCAGTGTATCAGTTCTTTACGGTACAGAGCAATCATCTACTCTTGAGCGCAGGCTGCACACCAGACTCGAGCTTCTTGCAGCCCTACTTTGCATCGCAGCCGCCGCCAGCCCATGATGTGAAGTACGGCGGCACAGGACCATTACACAGCGGCTAGTTGATTGGTGCACTACGATCTCTGCCCCGCGAGGCTCTGTCCGCGACAGATCCGTCAGAGACTCTTCGCCGTGGGGCCTAGCCTCAAACGGTAACGGCACAGCCAAGGCTGTGCAATCGACCCATCCAACCATTGTCAAGACGGGTGCACTTAGCCCCGCTTGGAGACGGACAGCGACGGGTCTTACGATTTGTCATGGCTGCTGCATGGCTGTGGCCAACGGCCAGTTCATATAGCGGCGTTGGCGAACGCAAGCCGCACAGACTCCCAGGTAGGCCCCTGCAGCCTGGTCTACACTGCATTTCTTGTCGGAGTACGCTAGGGTAGTTTGCCACTAACTGCCAACCAAACGGCCAAGCTCTGTTGAGCAGTGCAGAGGGGACGAATGGCCGGAGCAAAGTCGTCCCCGGACATGTCACAGCGCCAACTTGGCCCAACTGGCAATTTCCCCTTGACGATCCTTGTCCGAGGCTGTACGACGTGTATCATTGTCACTTTAGCCCGACGTGCCGATGACGGATCAGCACACCAAGAGGATGGATGGCAGCCGCTCCTTCGCTCTACTGCCCAGGCCCATGAATTACACATGGCGCTTTCGAGACATGGGCCTCTCATCAGAATATCCCCCAATCGCGACCTGAACTCTTTTTCTTTCTTCTCAAAATTCCTGATTATATTGTCATATGTGGCTTACTTTTCTGAATTTTCTGATTTAAAATAGGACTATGCAGGCCTCGGTGTGTGTGGGTTGGCCTGACACCACAAAGCGGGACGCCAAAAAGACACGACAATCAACTCGACACGCTGAGCATCTCGGTACGCCCAGCATCTTGACACGATTACTGGTACGCCGCTGTTCTGGTCGCGAACCTCACCGTGCTGCCGCCTGCTGGAACCCGTTTCACCTTGCCTGCTTACCTGCGCAAAGTCAGCTCCCCAGATCTTTCAGCCGGCTGCACCATCAACAGACATACCTCACACGACCCAATCCTCATTGGATTTTGCACTCCGCAGTGAGATTTGCCCTATAACGCGACATAGATATTGGCAGCGCCGTGGCCGGGCCAGCTACCATAGCTAAACGGGCTCGCGGCAACAAGGTTGCGCTGCAGGCTCCAAATCTTGCACATTTGCGACCAACGGTCAAGATGCAAAGTGCGTCTCCTGTGAGCCGCTGCTATGCCTCGAGTAATAGCATAGTTATTACTTTGTGACAGCATTGGGGACAGAAACCACTGCAGATAGCCCCTGCCGATAGCCTTGCCAAACGTAAATTTCACAACATCCTTAGTAGAGCATGCGCAGTAGCAACTGGCTCTCAGTGACGAGAGAAAGGGTCGCCCCAGCGCCTGTCTTCGCAGCTGAAAGCGGACAGGGATCGAAAATACAAGATACCATCTACGAAGAGATGGTGAGGAGTATGATTATCTAAACCTCTAGGACTGATCGTTGGCGTACGGGAGGTGCGCGGTGCCTTGTGTATATCAGTATTGTACCGAACTCTATGGAAAGCTCAAGCTAGACGATCAGCCTGGATTTAGCTCCCCTACACAAGGCAGACGCTCGTTGAACTATATTCACATTGTAGCAAGGTGCGCGGGATCAGTGCAGGCTCCCGCTCCAGGAAACTTTCTATAGATCCTCCGCAGTGGATCGTCATTGTCTATGCCTCATACATAGGATCCCTTTAGCATTCGTCTTGGGAGCCGATATCATCTTTAACAGCTTCGAAACTATACGTGACATATTTTATGCACCCTCCGGATTGGACCTCGATCTATTTAGAAGCGGGGGGGCGGGGACGATGCATTGCGACATTGCGACATATTTGTTTCTTTGCATACTGCTCTGGTAGCCGAGGCCTTTCTTGGTGGTGTGGTCCTTCTGATTTTGTCGAAATATACTCGAGGATCTCAGCTCGAAAAGGAGGTATGATGAGCGACTGTCCTTTGACCTCGTATTGCTTACCCTTTCTGAAAAGTGTTGTCGATCCTAGCCCTGCTTTCAGTGAATACTGGTGATTTTGTCAAGTATTGTACACTCATGGGCAAAGTGGCTTCCAGTTTTGATAACTATTCACTTTTTGAACCAATTTCGATAGAGTCAAAAATTATTTAATTTCTCGAAACGACCTTAGAATACAGGCAAAACTTATCCAAACGCTTTTAGCCTCACCCCGTGTTTGTTTTGGTCGTAATAATGATGCGTAGCTGCCAGACGGAGCCGATATTACTGCAAACATGGCGGACAATTTAGGCTGCCTTTTGGAAAAGCATTCAGCAATTTTTAGTCTTCGGTTATGCTACTTATAAATCTAGTTGGCTAGCAGGCCAGATGAGTAGTGTTGGAGAGCCGGTTTCCAGTATCAGTAGTTTTAGTTCCTGTAAACTTGTTACTTGAGACTCGCAGGGCTACCAGTCTGACCCGATGTTGTTCCATCATCGCTCGTAACGCATGACCATCAGCTACTGCTTCCTTTTGAACCACTCCTGCCACAACTATAATGTTTGAGAGATCTTGTTTAAGCCGAGTGACATGACGTAGGAAATCCATAATGCTTTTGCCGCTGTTGACAACAGAATCGACAAGAATCAGATTTTTTGGTTCTCCAGGTGGTAGTCCTTGATATCTTCTGGATTAAAAGCATGCAAAAACATGGCTTTCGGAAATACCTCATTGATACCGAAGGCCATGGGCTCTCCCCCTCTCATGAGGGCTATGATCGTAGTTTGGAATTCGTGGGCGAGGCGAAACCCAGCAATTCGATGGCCTTGCACATGTGGAATGTTGAACTCTTCAACTCCAATGACTTCTGTGAGAAATTGTAGCGCCAAAAACTTGCCAGCATCCTGGTGGGCCTTTCTCAGCCGATCCCGGCGACAGAGGCATCACGAGTCTGAGACATGAGTAGTTTTGCTGCACCGGTGTCTGTTGCATGGACCACAGTGTAGCTGTACGTCGGTAGTTGTCCTTGTCCCGCGGGAGTACACGACTGCTTCGACAAAATCGGGATCAGAGAACGCCAGTAGCGGTAGTTTCGTGGTGTTTACCCGTGGCGCGACATGTGGCGGGAGGAGCACTTGGCAAGGACAGAATCCACGGGTATCGATGGCCTCGCGAAGGGCATCTTCCATACTGCGACTTCGGATTCGTATATCGCCAGACACAATGATAGACTTATCGGCTGCCTCCAGCATTGGCAGATCAAGTGGACTATCTCCGAACGTCCATACATAGAGGCCAGATTGCTTTCGAAGACTCGAGACAACCTGTGCCTTAATCTGCGGGGTGATGACAACTTCGTCCAAAATTCTGCCACCACTAATCACTTTGATGCTATCTCTAAAGCCAGCTTTTTCCAGCACCATTTGCCAGACGCGTCGAATTCTGCAGGTCAGTACAACAACTCGCATGTGACCGTGGCTGCAAACTAGCTGGAAGAGAGTGATGAACTCGGGATGTACCATGATAGAAGATGCGAGTCTCTCACAACGTGTCTCAAAGTCTGCGTCGTTGGCAGCTTCTTCATATAAAATCGTTGCTTGGCGAAATGCAGCCTCGGAATAGCCGAACGGACTGCTAAGAGGAGCTTCAGCGGGCATGCATCTAGCATTTCTTGACTAGAGCCATTGACAGCCTGCCAAAACATAGATCCGGCATCTTCGCCCGCCAGAGTCTTATCTGCATCAACAACTAACACAGTCTCTGTGCGCTCATCAGCAACAAGTGCCGTTTTGACTTTGGTGGCGACGAGAGCGAGGTTGCAGCTGCCGTTTGTCCGCTCAAAGTGGCGCACCAACTTCAAAGTGAAAGAAAGTGGGTCGCCTGTGCTGCGGAACAGTTGAGAACAAGATGCATTCCTCTCTACAGAGACGGCGGAGTTGGTCGATCTCGGCTTGCTGCCACTGCTCCAAGTGTGCGGCGGACACTGGCCGGCGCTGGCGGTGCGTGTCCCTCAGCCGACGTTCCCGCATAGCGGGGACAGTCACATCCAAATAGATGATGTGTGTATAGACTCGAAAGTCGCTGGCAGTGGCGACAACGTTGCCTTCCATTTCATCTTTTGGCCAAAACATGTAATGGCCAACAACCAAAGCAGTGCGGTTGTGTGTCAAGCAGTCTTTTTCAACGCTGTTAATTGCCTGCTCCCGCACCTGACGTTTCTCCTTTTCATTGAGTTTCGCAAAAGCGGCAACACCTTCAGTCATAATGGTGGATATCAACTCGGATCCCTCGTAAAAGAGAAAGTTTTCGTGGTTAACGTGAAGCTTCATCTGGTTCACCAAGCTGGACTTTCCAGACCCTGGAAGTCCGTACAAGCCGATGACCATCGGCTTTCTGTCAATAACTGAACCAGATCCCTTCTCAGTTGCGACAGTACCGGTAGACGTATGTGATTGAGTGGTTGGAGCCATGTTACTGGTATAGTGCGGACAATAGCGGTGAAGAATCGCGCGAGCGCTGTGAAAAGGCAAGTGATGGTCCGAGCGAGTATGCAGTGGGAGCACGCAGTGTTGTCTGTTAATAAGGATTGGTATGGTGAAAAGCAGCGAGTTCGGCATCCTTGTCATTGGGCAGCCCTGCATGGCGGCGTCGAGGTGCAGTAGTGGTAGGCCCAGCATTCACGCAATGAAGGTTCAAGGGAGAAGAGGCCAGAACTGCCTTAGCCGAAAGCACATTCGTTCAAATCTGAAGTGATTCAGATCATGGCGAAGGGCAACCTCTTTGATCTTCTTCTCCTTGGCTGGATTGATCACTTCTCGTACCTGGCTGGCATTTGTAGAACCGCAAGCCCTAGCAGCCACGCGATAAAACAGCCGCCTTGACGTATATTTGGAAATCATGCCGGCGTAGATGAGACTGTGTGGTACCGTCTTGAATGGCGATACACTATGAAGCGGGTAGCCGTCATATATGGCACGACTAAGGACGTAAAAGACATCGGCAGTCTCGCTCAGTTTCTGCAACGGGACCAGGGGGGGGGCGGGGACGATGCATTGCGACATTGCGACATATTTGTTTCTTTGCATACTGCTCTGGTAGCCGAGGCCTTTCTTGGTGGTGTGGTCCTTCTGATTTTGTCGAAATATACTCGAGGATCTCAGCTCGAAAAGGAGGTATGATGAGCGACTGTCCTTTGACCTCGTATTGCTTACCCTTTCTGAAAAGTGTTGTCGATCCTAGCCCTGCTTTCAGTGAATACTGGTGATTTTGTCAAGTATTGTACACTCATGGGCAAAGTGGCTTCCAGTTTTGATAACTATTCACTTTTTGAACCAATTTCGATAGAGTCAAAAATTATTTAATTTCTCGAAACGACCTTAGAATACAGGCAAAACTTATCCAAACGCTTTTAGCCTCACCCCGTGTTTGTTTTGGTCGTAATAATGATGCGTAGCTGCCAGACGGAGCCGATATTACTGCAAACATGGCGGACAATTTAGGCTGCCTTTTGGAAAAGCATTCAGCAATTTTTAGTCTTCGGTTATGCTACTTATAAATCTAGTTGGCTAGCAGGCCAGATGAGTAGTGTTGGAGAGCCGGTTTCCAGTATCAGTAGTTTTAGTTCCTGTAAACTTGTTACTTGAGACTCGCAGGGCTACCAGTCTGACCCGATGTTGTTCCATCATCGCTCGTAACGCATGACCATCAGCTACTGCTTCCTTTTGAACCACTCCTGCCACAACTATAATGTTTGAGAGATCTTGTTTAAGCCGAGTGACATGACGTAGGAAATCCATAATGCTTTTGCCGCTGTTGACAACAGAATCGACAAGAATCAGATTTTTTGGTTCTCCAGGTGGTAGTCCTTGATATCTTCTGGATTAAAAGCATGCAAAAACATGGCTTTCGGAAATACCTCATTGATACCGAAGGCCATGGGCTCTCCCCCTCTCATGAGGGCTATGATCGTAGTTTGGAATTCGTGGGCGAGGCGAAACCCAGCAATTCGATGGCCTTGCACATGTGGAATGTTGAACTCTTCAACTCCAATGACTTCTGTGAGAAATTGTAGCGCCAAAAACTTGCCAGCATCCTGGTGGGCCTTTCTCAGCCGATCCCGGCGACAGAGGCATCACGAGTCTGAGACATGAGTAGTTTTGCTGCACCGGTGTCTGTTGCATGGACCACGGTGCAGCTGTAAGTCGACACTAACTTGGATGCCACGGTAGTTATCCCTATCGCGCGGGAGTACACGACTGCTTCGACAAAATCGGGATCAGAGAACGCCAGTAGCGGTAGTTTCGTGGTGTTTAGCCTTGGAGCGACATGTGGCGGGAGGAGCACTTGGCGAGGACAGAATCCACGGTTGTCGATGGCCCCGCGAAGGGCATCTTCCATACTGCGACTTCGATTTCGTACATTACCAGACACGATGATAGAACTGTCAGCTGCCTCCAGCATTGGCAGATCAAGTGGACTATCTCCGAAGGCCCATACATAGAGGCCAGATTGCTTTCGAAGACTCGAGACAACCTGTGCCTTAATCTGCGGGGTGATGACAACCTCGTCCAAAATTCTGCCGCCACCAATCACTTTGATGCTATCTCCAAAGCCAGCTTTTTCCAGCACCACTTGCCAGACGCGTCGAATTCCACAGGTCAGTACGACGACTCGCACGTGACCGTGGCTGCAAACTTGCTGGAAGAGAGTGATGAACTCAGGATGTACCGTGATAGAAGATGCAAGTCTCTCACAAAGAGTCTCAAAGTCTGCGTCGTTGGCAGCTTCTTCATATAGAAGCGTTGCCTGGCGAAATCCAGCCTCAGAATAGCCGAACGGACTGCTAAAGAGGATCTTCAGCGGGCATGTATCTAGCAATTCTTGACTAGAGCCATTGACAGCCTGCCAAAACATAGAGCCGGCATCTTCGCCCGCCAGAGTCTTATCTGCATCAACAACTAACACAGTCTTTGTGCGCTCATCAGCAACAAGTGCGTTTTTGACTCTGGTGGCGACGTGAGCGAGGTTGCAGCTGCCGTTTGTCCGCTCAAAGTGGCGCACTAACTTTAAAGTAAAAGAAAGTGGGTCGCTGTGCTGCGGGACAGTTGAGAACAAGATGCAATGCTCTCTACAGAGACGGCGGAGGTGGTCGATCTCGGCTTGCTGCCACTGCTGCAAGTGTGCGGCGGACACTGGCGGGCGCTGGCGGTGCATGTCACTCAGCCGACGTTCCAGCATGGCGGGGACAGTCACACTCAAATAGATGATGTGTGTATAGACTCGAAAGTCGCTGGAAGTAGCGACGACGTTGCCTTCCATTTCATCTTCTGGCCAAAACATGTAATGACCAACAACCAAAGCAGTGCAGTTGTGTGTCAAGCAGTCTTTTGCAACGCTGGTAATTGCCTGCTCCCGCACCTGACGCTTCTCCTGTTCGTTGAGTTTCGCAAAAGCGGCAAGATCTCCGGCCATGAGGGTGGATATCAACTCGGAACCTTCGTAAAAGAGAAACTTTTCGTGGTTAACTTGAAGCTTTATCTGGTTCATCAAGCTAGACTTTCCAGACCCTGGAAGTCCGTACAAGCCGATGACCATCGGCTTTCTGTCAAAAACTGAACCAGATCCCTTCTCAGTTGCGACAGTACCGGTAGACGTATGTGATTGAGTGGTTGGAGCCATATTACTGGTATAGTGCGGACAATAGCGGAGAAGAATTGCGCGAGCGCCGTGAAAAGGCAAGTGATGGTTCCAGCGAGTATGCAGTGGGAGCACGCAGCGTTGTCTGTTAATAAGGACTGGCGTTGGCGAAAAGCAGCGAGTTCGGCGTCCTTGTCATTGGGCAGCCTTGCATAGCGGCGTCGAGGTGCAGTAGTGGTAGGCCCAGCACTCACGCAATGAAGGCTCAAGGAAGAAGAGGCCAGAACTGCCTTGGCCGAAAGCATATTCGTTCAAATCTGAAGTGATTCAGGTCATGGCGAAGGCAACCTCTCTGATCTTCTTCTCCTTGGCTGCATTGATCACTTCTCGTATCTGGCTGGCATTTGTAGAACCGCAAGCCCTAGCAGCTACGCGATAAAACAGCCACCTTGACGTATATTTGGAAATCATGCCGGCGTAGATGAGACTGTGTGGTACCGTCTTGAATGGCGATACACTATGAAGCGGGTAGCCGTCATATATGGCACGACTAAGGACGTAAAAGACATCGGCAGTCTCGCTCAGTTTCTGCAACGGGACCAGAGCCTCGCGACGTACCCATAACTCCTCGCGTAAACGCTCTCGATACCAGGAGGGGCTTTGCCCCAAAAGTTGCAAGAATGTATGCCATCGCGAAAGTAGCAGCTTTGCCATTGTGGATCAAACTGCACAAATGCTGCGATTGATCACCGTACTAAGAAACCGCTATGGTGTGGCTGCCTTAGGTATCAATTGTAGATTACCTTAGGGAGCATTTTCAATACACTGATTCAGCGAAGCGATGACAAGCGAGAATCGGCTATGAGCAAAGACGGTGCATCGCTGCACACCGGATCTGTCGGGGCCTACCACTAGACCTCAAAAATCTATCTATCCAAGTGCGACGGAACTCTCGACTAGTTGTCCATGCCCAACCTACTTGCGGAGGCGCAACAGAAACCAGTTGATTCTGTTACTGCGGACGACTCGATTGCCTCTGTCGTTACATTTGCTATCAGCTCTCAAACAATCGCAAGATCGACCATCAGTCCATAGCAGTTCCCTCTAAGGCTAGTTGAAGCCGTGGCAATACGTCGTAGCTCTGTTCGGCCCCCTTCGTTCCATTTTTGCTGACGTCACTGAGCTAATTAGGTAACTAAATAAATCATGAAGAGCACTCTCGGAGTGTGCTTCGAGTTACACTCTGCCTACGTCATACTCTGCTGAAATAGCTTAATCACTAGCTAATCTCTACAGAGATCCGTTGGCGGGCTGGCGGGACAGATAAGAACTGAGCGATCTGCAAGACCGACCTGAAGAATCAGGTTGGATGTGCTCAGGCTCCTTCGCATTCTGCTGGTCTCAGTGTTAGTCTGGCAACGCACCTGGATGCGCGATATGCATCACTAGTGGTAGGCCTCCCCCTCCAGATTGCGGGCATTCTGCATTGGATCTCCATTTCTAAAAGTTATTCGTCACCAGTATACCAGTAGGCAATACACTCCATCAAAAAGAAAACCGAAATCGGGGAGGTGTAGCAACAGTCATTCAGTGATTGATGGGGCCTTGGGCGACAAGCATCTTGTCGGCTCGACGGTGGTCAAGTTTTGCACATTCGCGAGCGTTCAGGTTGCGAGAGTGTTCTGCCGTACCCGGTGGTTATGCTCAAAATAATTGTGTAGCTACGTTATCAAATTGCGATGGGTACATGCGGCAGCCGATGGCCCGCCCCAATATGCTCAGGTTCACAACAGCCCTGGTAGAGCATGGCCAGTCAAAACCGGCGCTCGGCTACAAGAGAAAGGGTTTTCCAAAATCTGTCACGGCAACTGAAAGCGGACCTCGATCGCTGACGGCCATACCTGTGATGCTACGGGGAGATGTCAGTAATGAGTTTCATCATTTAAATTTCTAGTGCTGAACGTAGACGTACGGAGAAACGCGCAATAGAGGCGAGGCAGACTCATACCGTTGCTTTCAAATTCACCAAAACCAACTTTGAATTGGGAATTTGTCTATTTACCCAAAACAATGCCAGAGCCGACCTTGAGGGAGCCAGCGGCCGACCGGTGCGTCACTGAATTGGCACGCGGAGACGGCAAGAAAGCAAAGGCGTGGACCTCACGCTCACCATCATTCTTGGACTTGCGCGTCGGACATGTTCTCAGCATCCCGAAACATCCAAACGCCGACCGGCTCTACGTCTCGGCGGTGGCCGCTGGCGACAGTCCGGGCCACAGAGGCAAATTTCAATAGAAAGGACAGACGTGCCGCACCGTGTGCTCGGGGCTGAACGGGCTGGTGCTTCTGCAAGAGCTCCAGGATTGCAAGGTCGTCATCGTACGGAACGTCAAGCATGTGGGCATATGCGGCGTCACCTCACTGCCATGTTTTTTGCTGCCGTTTTCGAGACGGGGGACGATGAGGGAGCGAACCGCAAGTGCATCGTGGAGATGGTCGACCCTCCGGCGAAATCGACGGCCGGTGACCGGGTCGTCTTTCAAAACTGGGAAGACTCGCCTAAGGAGGAAATCAGCACGCAAAAGAAGGTCTGGAAGGCTACACAACCTGGATTCAAGACGATAGATGACCTCGGAATAGAGTTCCTGCCTTTGGCAGCAGGTCTCGTCGGCCAATCTGCCAGGCTGGTCACGGACAAGGGAGTACCGTGTTCTGTCCGTAGCCTGAAGGGGGCTGGAGTTCGGTGAAGGCACCTTGTTTGTCCGGGCTTCGCTCTTGGCCTCTTCCGCTCTGACGAGCCGGCGACGACTGTCCAAGCCTCCTTACGTGCTGCAGCGATGACCATGTTGGGGAGGGGGGGGCAGTCTCGAGCAGTGACGGTAGTGGCAGATAGGAAAAGGTAGCATTCAATCTACACACTTCGTATTGTACTAGAGCTAGCCACCATCCTGGTAGGGGGGGGGGGGGGGCGCGCAGTCTCGAGCAGTGACGGTAGTGGCAGATAGAAAATGATAGCATTCAATCTACACACTTCGTATTGTACTAGAGCTAGCCGCCATCCTGGTACCCTGTGCAAAGCGCACACTCCGCTATCCGAAACGCCCACTCAGGCTTCCTCAGACCGCGATTGCTCTTGCGCCTTCTTCAGTCGATCGGAAAGGGTCACCCAGCTGGTGGCGTATACGACGGTCCTAAAGCAAGCTCCGTCAGCCGCCTCGCCGAAGCCGCGCTCCAGGGCGTCCCGCACAAACAGCCAGTGCACGAACCCCAGTTCTCGGACCGACTCCTCCGTCAGAATCCGCCGGAACGTGAGATAAAGCGGACCACACTTGGCCCATCGGATGGGCTCGAGAAACATGACCTTTCTGCGTCTGTACATGTCTTCCGACACAAATGGCCGCACCGCCTCACGCAGGATCCATTTCTCGGTGACGGATCGCAGGCCAGGACCCGAGCTCTTCCACCACTAATCGTCCGCGTTGCCCTGCGCAAGGTCCTGGCCCTCGTCTGGCGCGTACCGCATCTTGGCGCTGGGAGGCAACGCATTGACATGCTCCGCGAGGTGGTCGAGAAAAGGCGGCCGTCCCTCTATGCTGTGCATCAGCTCGGGCCGGTCCCCGAGACTAGTCAGGATGGTGTTCGGCAGCAGTGTCTTCGTCCACATGTACAGCGACCTATGCAGCGGGTCCCAGCGCTCCATCTTGTCTTTGGCGGCAAAGAAGGAGCGGAGCCTCGAGCCTGGCACGGATCGCCGCGCGCCGAGCACCCAGTCGGCAAAGATCCTACCCTGCGAGAACAGCGAAAGCACTGCGGGAAGCGTCATGCCGCTTGAGGGATCCAGTCCTGCACGGGCGTATCTCTGGACCTTGCGGCCTGACTATGTCTGTCATTTCGAAAATCACGCGCGACTGCAGCGCCAGACGCACGCCGTCATTGACTAGGACTGAGCCCGCCATGCTGTGGTCAGCTTCTTGCAAGAAATCTGCGGTAAAGCAGGAGTACCCCGCAAAATGCTCGTCCGATTCCTCTCCGGACAGCACGGACCTGATCCCGTGCTCCCGCGGCAGACTCGACAACACAGACTTGGCTGTGGTGTTCAGGTCAAAGATGTGATGCTCGGTGTGATATACAAGTTGTCGGCGAGCCTCTGATCGTCCATCTCGAGCCTGTGACACTCGACCCACAGCCCGAATCGTTTGCTAAGCTATTTCACTGTTCTCGCGGCAATGTCTGCCGGGGCGGGGGACCCATGGGTCAGCACATGAGTGTTTGCAAAGCGTGTAGCGTCCGCCGCCGGAGCTCATCTAATTCATCATACGTGGCATCGGTGTAGCCAACAGTGAAGCACTTGATCCGCGGCAGATAACCGGCGTCATCCGTTCGGCAGCTGCCAAACTTCCTGCCCTCCTAACTCACAAGATGCGCCACGATTCCAGCGACGGCGGAAGAATCGATGCCGCCCGAGAGGTAGAGACCCAGGGGGGCGTCTGCCCGGAGGCGGACGCGCACGGCGTCGACCAGCTTCTCACGGACATCCTCAATCATCTGCGCCATGGACACCTCGTCGTCCTTCCCGTCGCGGTCCGTAGCCGAGTTGGAGGAATACTGCTGATCCCAGTACGGCCTGGTGCGCAGGTCCGCGAGGGCGGATTCCAGCCCGATCTACATCCAGTGGCCTGGTCCCCTAAAACACGGTCCTCTGCCAGCCAGCCAGACGTAGCTATGCTCTCGACGTCCCACTCCGAGGCCCAGCCCAGGCCGAGGAACGCCTTCACGTCGGCTGCGAATAAGGCTCTGCCCTGCTGCACGGTCCAGAACAGCGGTTTGATGCCGAATCTGTCTCTTGCGGCTACAAGCTTCCTGGCATGCGCTCTCTCGTCCACGATCACGAAGGAAAACTCACCGCGGAGATGCCGAAAGAGCCCAGGCGTGCCATGCATGCTGTAGAGGGCCAGGACAAGCTCGCTGTCGCTGTGGCCGCGAAACGCGTACCCGCTGTCCTCGCAGTACCGTCGCAGCTTCTCGTACTCGTAGATTCTTCCGATGACGACCGCGTGGACCTGACCATCTGCGCTGTGCAGTGGCTGGGATCCCGACGGGGACGTGTCGTTGATGGCGAGTCGGCAGTGCCCGAGACCTACCGTCGCCGCAGCGTTGACCCATACATAACAGCCGTCCGGTCCTCGATGCTTGATCAGCTCGAGAGACCTTTCAAGCTGCCTGGAAAGAGCAGACACTGTGTTGCTCTTCCCGGCTGCCGGCGACTCGGTCCGGGCCGAGGACGTATTGGCAGCCGCGGTGTGAGTATACACGACGACGAAACCACACATTGCTGCAGCATACGACGTTTGGAGAATAGCTCGTGGATGTTCTGTGGGAGCGTGGCGTGGATCGATATGGCAGGACCTGCTGGCGAACTGGTAGGTGTGTTGGCTGACGCGGGAGCCGCGAGCATAATGACATGGGATTTTGGCTCCCAGCATCTGGGGCAACTACCTTGTTCTTTCTCTCCAGATAATGTCTTCACCATGTTACCTAGCCAAATTCAGCCGGGTATGATGGGTTGGCTGGCCACGCATGATGGTGGGGGGTGGCTACCCAGCCATGGGACGTGGCGGATCTTCAAGGGCCCGAAACAGCTCCTGCCTTTGACTCCATCGGCAGCAGACAGAACCCAACCATAAGACGCAATGCGGTTGCGCACAAAGCGACCTGACCACGACCACTGGCAGCACCTTGCATTGCGCACGAACGACTCGTGTGCTGTCACTCCCAGATTCTACGCCACACGATGCCATTGCAGGATTCAACTCGGCCAACATGCCCAGCACAGCCAGCACGCCCAGCACAGCACCAGAGAGCCCCTCCTCGCTGGAGTATCACGACCTGCAGAAAGGGTTCAGCGCTCGGGAAAAGTTCCAAAAGCCACTCAAATTTCATCTTGCTTTTTGTCCATCCTACTCATGGTCTTCATCGTCTCCGTCGACGCCACGGCGTTGGCGGTTGTCATACCTGTAAGTCCGCCGCCGCGGCGCAGCCTGCAGCAATCAGCTGACGCGAGATCCAGAAAATAGCGAAAGAGTTTAAACGGAACGTACCTGGAGGCGTTCTGGGCGGAATGCCTCGTTTCTGCTGGTCGTCACGGTCGTGCTGCCCGTGTACACCGGCCTCTCAGAGGTCATCGGGCGCAAGCTACTGCTCTACGTTTACTTTTCCTCTTCACGGCGGGGTCTGTCCTCTTCGCGACCGCGCAGTCTCTTACCGTCGCCATCCTCTCTCGTGCGCTGCAAGGGTCTAGGTGCGGAGGCATCGACGTCCTGAACGAAATCCTCGTGGCCGACATCACTACCCTGCTGGAGCGCGCCGTGTACATCGGCCTGGTCTCTATCCCGTTCGCATTGGGGAGCGTCCTCGGCCCCGTGGTGGGCGCGCTGCTGGGCGAACTCTCGTCCTGGCGATGGATCGGCTGGATGAATCTGCCTCTCGTCGCTCTCTGTCTCCCGCTGTCCATCTTCTGCCTCACGCTGAAGCCGCTCGAGGGCCGTCTCTCGCAGCAGCTCGCAGGCTTCGACTGGCGCGGCCTCGCCCAGTTCGTGGTCGGCGCCGTCTCCCTGACCCTGCCGTTGAGCTGGGCGGGTGCAATGTAGCCGGGCGATTCGTGGAGGACGCTGCTTCCGCTTTTCGTCGGCGCGCGGTTCTCGGCGCGTTTGCCTGGTACGAGTCGGGGGCCGCCCGGCCCATTCTCCCCTACCGCATCTTCCGCACCCGTACCGCCGCCGGCGCGCTGGCTCTCAGCTTCTTGCACGGGATGATCTTCTACACGCTCATCTTCCACCTCCCGTTGTTCTTCCAGTCCGTCGGCCTGGAAACTCCCCTCCGGTCGTCCGTGCCTCTTCTTCCTTTCTACGTCATTCTGATGGCGTTGACGGGCATCGCGGCCGTAGGCATCGATGGACGTGCCGCTACGTCTGGGCGGTCAGGCTGTCAAGGCTCTTTCCGAGTCTCAGTCTCGGTCTGGGTCTCTGCACGCTGTGGGGAGCGCACACGACCCTCACGCAGACGGTGGGCTTCGAGGCCATGGTCGCGATCGGGCTTGGTTCTCTGTTCACGGCCCTGCCGGTCATGATGCAGGCCCGTACGCAGCCCGACGCCCACGGCCACGCAGTAGGCATTCTGGTTTCTTTCCGGCTGTTCGGCGCGGCAGTGGGGCTCGCCGTCTCCGCCGCCGCGTTCAGCAACCAGTTCAGCAGCTCGGTGGCTACCCTCGGCGACATGCCGCCTACGGTTCGCCTTCTGTTACAAGAAAACCAAGCCTTGGGATCGATCCCGCGACTGAGAGAGTTGGATCTGTCGCCGGCGGAGCTCGTCGATATCCTGAGCGCGTACGAACAGTCGTTTCGGGTCGTGTTTCTTGTTCTGACCGGCCTGAGCTGCGTCGGTTTTTCCTTGACCCTTCTCGCTTGCGAGACGTCCATTGAGGCGGATGAAGCCGGTAAATAAAACCTCATAGTATAGGCACGCCTGCACGCTGGGCGACCTGCACCGCTCGTGTGGGGTTGGGGACGGCCCTGCTGGTGGCTTCGCGAGGGGACTAACATGTATGGCGGCGACAAGGAAGAAATTATACAGTGCAAGATACATCTCAAAAATGAATGTGATATGATGAGCCATTCTTCTCTTGGCTTTACCTTACATGTACTGCACATGGGAACGTATTTGCAGCATCGCGCTCGAATGCAGTCCACGATCGCGTGGATCCTAACGTGGTCGACGTGGCACGGGTACGATGTCTACAAATCATGCACTGCAAAATGCGTTCTTCTACGCGCAATGCTCTTGGGTTCGAAGAAGGCCGACACCTATCCAACGCAGCGCACTGACTCCGCTCGCCGTGGCCACAGACTCGCGAGCAGACTTGCAAACAAATAAATCAAATCAAATCCGGGGTCCGATTTGATTTGATTTGGATACGAAAATCATGAATCTGATTTGATTTGATTTGATTTGAATTAATTTGGATCTCATTTGGATATCTGGATAGTTCCACTTTTCTCCCATGACGAAAGACACTGAGCAGCTCCTATAGGATCCGCTTTGAGGCGGCCTCTCTGAGCTGTAACCATCTGTCCGGTGAGACTAAATATTCGTTCTGGCTCAGAAGACATAGCTGGAATGGAAAAAAGATCGATCGCCATTCGCGATAAGCGTGGATACTGGCGCCTGCGGAGAAGCCAATACTGGATCGGGTCGTCCACCAAGCAATGGTGCTGGCCACCCATTCTGCGTACTCGTCGCGCGTGCAGCACACAGAAGGCGCAGGCTGGGCGCCAAGTCTCCTGATTGAAGTCATAAATTCATCGAGATCCGTTGTTCTCCTGGCGACAGTCGGTTGCTCCGGTATTGTATCTTGTTCAACCGGGAGACTTTGGTACTCCTCCCATAACTCCCGCACACCTGCCCTTCCCCTGACCAACCAGTCTGGATGACCAGACCATTGAGACTCGACAGTTGACCAGCGAAAAGCGGGATGTAGAATGAGGCTTGCGAGGTAAGCTGGGCTGTCGTCGGTTAGAGTGTAGTATTGATCCAGCTTCATCCAATCAAGATTGCAACCGATACGTAGGTAAGGCTCCTCGTCTCGTTCATGTTGCAATTTTGCCTCTTCTAGGTGTTTCAGAAGCCACTACATTGTCAACAAAACCTCCCAAATTGCACCGAATTTGCCTTCTCGAGGCCGGCCCTCCAGACGCTTTGTCGCAATCTTCAACGGTTTCAAGATCGCCAAATATTCTGCAATAATTGCCCAGTCCTTAGCAGTCATCCGATCGTCTACAATGGTAGGCTTCCTGCGGGTTTTCTTCGGCATCGGTTTCGCCCCGTTCTGTGTCCTCCTGGCCACGTATTGGTTCCAGTCTGTCACTTCCGCTTGGACCAGCGAATCGAGTGCATTGCGGAGCATGTATCCGCACTCCATCATCGCTTTCGATGAGTTCCAGCGCGTGGCATTGTCCATGATGACATCATAAGTTGTTTTATCAAGGCCCAGTGCAGTTTCTCGATAGACTGGAGCTTGTGAAGTCTTTCAATGCGCTGGCCAGACCTTGCTACCCAGTGAACGATATTATGTAGCTTGCCAATGGGGCCTTTGGATCTCCAGAGATTGACCTCATCAATAATCTCCTTGTGTGCTTGGCAATCCTCTTCGAACGCGTCGGCGTCTGTACCAAAGGATAGATCGGGCAACGAGGCTAATGATATGGCCACAACAGCGGAGACGACGATGCTGCTTCTTGAACCCTAGCTCCGTACCCAAGTCTTCAAGGCACGTGTCGTTGCTCTCCGCATTGTCTGTGACAAAATACCTGACGCGATCCTCAAACCCATATTCGTGGATTATATCCCTGACACGCTCCGCTAGGTTTTCTCCAGAGTGGCGACCTTCAATCCGTGGCAAACCGAGGAGGAACGTGCGGAACTTCCCCTCGTCATCAAGAAAGTGTACGGTAAGGCCGAGTAGCGATATGAATTTTCGAGAGGTCCACGCATCAAAGGAGACGTTAATACAGCCCAGTGACTGACGAAGCAATTCCGTCACGACACCTTTGTGGCGATTCAAAGACCGTACAATCCAGTCACGGATTGTGCTATGAGTCGGGAGACTGCCCGAATCTACGATGGCGCTGTTCGTGTAAGCCATAAGGTCCCGAAAGTACGGGCTTTCTAGCTTATGAAACGGGATGTTGTCGCACGCCACCCAACGTATCAGGAGATGCTGAAAGCGAAGCGGTTCAAAGGACGATATGAAGGCGTTGATCATCGCCTGATCCTTGGTTCGGTGGGAGTCCAGCTCAACCATGTCGAAAAGAGTGCGCTGCTTCTTCCTCTGTGGCGGCATTGGGCCGTCCTTGTTGATATGGTGGATTTCTTCCATATGGTTGTTTGCTTGGCTTGTGGATGCAGCATCGTATACATGTGTAATCGTAGCCTTCTTCTGATGGCAGGTTTTGCAAAGCCAGAATCGATGACCGGAATCGGTTTTCTCGATATCAAACCCGTGCTCCCAGACCCATCCCGTTCGCGCTCTTTTTCTATACTTGCGTATCGAGAAGCCCGTGACACGATTCCAATCGATGCCCTCATATCGATCGAAGGCGATAGGTCGGTCGCGTGCGCCCCAGGCTCTGACGAGTCGGGGTCGGAAGAGCTCTCGGTGACGCTAAAAGTAGTTGGTGGGACATTGGAGAGCGAGACTGACCAGGCTTCTTCGCCTTTAGCAGCGTGGGCCATTGTAGGGGCGGCTAGAGGCCGAGAGCTGACCTTTTATCACGGTCGGCTACGGGTGTCTCTCTCAATAATATGGCAAACGTGCCCAATGTATACTAATTATACAATGGGTAGTACCTATGTTGCAAAAAGAAGGCTTTATCTCATCTCAGCCGTCGCGCTGCAAAAAGCAAGTACGCGAAGCTGGCGCTGCTGGCATATATAGGCAGGCTCGCAACATTGATTGGTGCTGGTGACCCCGTGTGGTGCGCATTCAAATAATCAGATATCCAAATAACTTTGGGCTTTGCGATTTGATTTGATTTGGTTCAGCGTGAAGGCAATTTGATTTGATTTGATTTGATTTGGATGCGATTTATCTATTTGCAAGTCTGCAACAGGCCGTAGACATGAATAGAGAGCGGCTCGATGTAATCTTATCACTTGACAGTCGGTACGCAAGCTATCTATGATTACACTTAGGTAAATAGAACGAAATAAGCTGTCCTCTAGTTCAACTTCACATTAGTCTACTTAGGCTCCTACTGCTAGTCACTATGTTGCTACACTCCTAACTCCGATTCACCCCGTGGAAACTCCTAATTTATGTCACATTTTCATCACCATTGAGCCCTTGAATAGCCTTCGAGAGTTTGAGGACGGAGTGTCACTATTGTGTCAGCTCATGCAGCCGCTACCGCAGCTGATCCACTGGGTCAATGTCCATACTATAATCTGATAATGCTTCGAGTGTTCGAATAAGACGGAAGCAAGTATTGTACGGAGTGGCAACACCACTACTGTACCTAATCGTTAAATGTAGTATAGTTTTATATTATCTGGCAAGTGACTATGATCTCCTGTCTCCAAGCACGCTTGTACTATTGCGATGTTATTGAGGTTACAAGGAACACTCTATTGATTTCAGCTGTTACTGTGAGTTGGCTCGCAACTGCACGGTCGTCGCCTTTTCCTGTTTTGCGGCTGCAAGATTCTCTGCCATTGCTTGTTTCGTGCATGTATTTCGGTGTGTCGGAGCGCGCTGAATCGTGAGGCTTTATGCTCTCTCGAGCCCGGGTCCAATACTCAGTCGAGCCGAAGCCACCAAGCTTGTTGCAGAGAATTGATAAGTGGCGGTGATTGCTTAATAGCTGTTTTAAGGGCCAGCGGGAGGGAACATCTTCGCCCAGTCAAGGCTGGACTGAGGAGCGTTATTTTCGGCGCAATAGTTGGGCATACCACGCTGGCCGGGAGGGACATCATAGCCGTGCATGTTCTGCACGTTCGTAGAATTGACGACGCCGCTATTAGACTGAGAGCCACGCCGATCGCCGTCAGCGGGACTGTCTAGGCATCCCATGCTAGAGGAGCAAGAGAGCTGGGGCTGGTCGCTGGACAGGTGCGAAACTCTGGTGGGATTACTACGTCGGATGGCGCATTTTTGGTAATGCCGCTTGAGAATGTCACTGCGAGAAAAAGTGTCGCAGCAGAGAACACACGTGTACGGACGGTCGCCAGTGTCTGTGCAATTGGGTTAGCATGACGTCGCATCGGGCGTGGCAAGGTATTGAGAGAGCAAGACTCACGGCGCAGGTAATGGCGCTTTAAGTCCTTGGCGCGGAAATAACTCTTTGTGCAGTGAGGGCACGGGAACTTGCCATCGGCGTCCTTGGGCGGAATGAGCATGTTCATGGCGGCCAAGGTACCGGCGACGGGAGCGACAGGCCGCCCAGGCGTGCTGGGGAGGATGCCTCTGCGGCCCTGGCAGCCAACAACGGGGGTGAGCGGCGTGGAATGCTGGGCAGGATCACCGCGGTCACCAGTAGACGCGGGGGCAATGAGCTGCGGTCGACAGGCAGCCCTGGCAGCACCGTTCATCATGGGCTGGGAAGTTCCATAGCCAGTGTGCGGCGAGAGGAGGTCTTGAGCAATTGAGTGCATGTCGTTTCGAGCGCTAGTCTGGGTGCTTTGAGGGTAGCTGGGCAGATTATGCGCAGAGTTTGGCGTGTAAGGCATTTTAGAGCGCGGGGTGTCCGGGTTGCTACTGTAGAGGGGCTGCATGGTGTTCGAAGAAGGCTGCAGAGGTCGAAGCGTCTGTGGTAGAAGAGAATCTGGCTGAATGCAGTGAGGCGAAAAGGATACCGGCGACGAGTAGTCGTGAAGGTTGGAGGTTCCGTTTAAACCATCGGCTAGATAGGTAGCGTTGTCCATGCTCTGGCGCGCAAAAACGCGTCGCGGAAACTTCTGGGTGGCTTTTTTTCTGGACGAAATACGTTTTTCAAGGGGGGGTAGGCGTCAAGCAAAGCAGCACAGCAGAGGGAAAAAAAATCGTGATTTGTGCTGCGACGATTCCGTCGTTTGTAGGCGAGGGAGGAGGCGATCCGTGACTGACTCCGACGACGCAAGGCCAACAGTTGATGATGATAGCAAAATAGGCCGAAGAAACGGGTCGTACGGTTAGTTAACCGGAATTTCTACAGGTGATGGTAAGAGAGGAGAAAATTCCAAAATAAGTGAACAAGGAGCCTGGCGACAGTACCCCGGGACCTTGTTTCATTTTGTAAATAAGCGTAGATTCAATTCGAAGTATGTGGAGATCGAACCTACCTTGTCATCTTTCTCACATATCTGTACAAGGGCTTGCCAAAGAAGTCCAGGCAGGGTGTCAAAATCGATAGAATCCACATAGGTTGGGTTATGAAGAAGCCCGGCAAGGAAAGCGGCGACCATATAGCGTGCGCCTACACCTAAATGCGAGTCGTCGATGAACGAAAAGCCCTGAAAAAAGGGCATCCGCTCAGCGATTTCGAGTAAGCATCTGTTTGCATAGAACGAAAGTTCCATGCTTTTGATGGTGAACACATCCAATCTTGTTGCAGTAAAGGTCCACTCTGGCAGTCTCGCAGTTTGCATTATTCTTGTCATAATAGTTTCGAAACCAGGCATAGACACAGAATCCGACGCAGGTACAGAATCTGACACACTGCCAACATAAAAGCTGTGGCGAAGAGCCTGTTTTGCAGTGCAATTCTGAGGCAGACTCATTGTGTATGGTCACCTTTGGTAAAGGACGCGATGCCTGTGTCGTATATTTTCGTAAGAACCAAGAGGAAGAAGTGAGGAATCGTTTCGATCCTATAACAGCTTGAAAGAGATGCTCTCTTGTTCCACCACGCGTTGCTGTTTCTGTGTTTCTTCTGTGTTGGCTTTCTACATGCCGAAGATTTCACTGAAGCAGTGGTTGTCAATGCCAAGCTGGCTTATATACTCGGAAAAGGGGCAAATAAGGGACTGATATTTTGACTGGCCAAATGCAGTTGTAGGAAAATTCAGCCAACTATACACAGTCCAGCTTTGTTGACTTTCTCTGGTGTCCCATGCTTGTCTGTGCAAAGGGCTAATATGCCCTCAGGGCTCGGTCCATAGTATTCGTCTCGAGGGCCTCTATTTTCGGTTATGCTTGTGTCTTCGCATGCGTAAAAGACAACAAAAAAAAGGCTTCCTAGCCCAGACACAGCCAACTTTATCTTGGATCCCTGCCGTTTGCGTGTGTGCGAGTTATTTGCTAGCTGTGGAGAGACTGTCAGCTAAAACCTCAATGGTCGCTGACTGCAGAGCAATAGTTCTCCACGCATCACGAAGCGCTCTCCCCGGAAAAGTTGGATCATGTTCGGCAAGCTTGGATGTAAGTACATTTTCGAGATGTACTATGTAATGGCTGTATACAAGGCTTCGGTTGTGAAGAACTTTAATCACTCTGCCGCTCTCGTTCCTGAATTTTGCGAGTTCCGTTTCTGTGGCACAGCTTTTGCCACATTGGGGTTGCAAGTCAGACGGCCTTGCTGGAAGGGAATACCGGCGTTGCACTGTAACAGGGTGAGGATAGGCCATCGCTGAGAGCAGTAATTGAAGCTTGAAGAAAAGAGCTACTGCGCAGTCTCCAGAGGCAGCCACAAATGTTTTATATATCTTTTACCTCCTGAGTGCTGTCAATAAACGCTTTCCAGGCCCAAGATCATCACGTAGAGATGAATCGACACTTGCGATAATAGAACCATTTGTTTCTCCACATGGAATACCAGTATCTGGTTCTGGAGTGAGCCTGCCATCTCCTTCCCAATGCGACACCCTATACATGGATAGATGAAAAGACTCTCCAATACTTGTTTCAGGTCTTGTTCCGGCTCTGACGTCTTCATTGCTTTCTCGAGATTGTGAAAAATGGAGGAAGCCCGTGAATCTTCTGTAGGCTTAGTTGTTACACCAAAACCATCCGCATATTCAGTTAACAATGTTCCGCTTTCTTCAATACAATCTTTCAAATCCACCAAAACGTTGAATTTCAGTGTTTGCTTCGGCTTCTGCGCCATATTAGACAAGTCTTGGATAAGTTCGCTTAATACATACCCCGCCGCTGATACCCCAAACGCAAGACATTAGAAGGTTATATTAACAGACTTAGATTCCAGAAAACATACATAATATGAGAACATTAAGATTTATTTGCTAATGAAAGGGTTGCGTAGCTATTTATACCTCTGTTCCCGATGGCTATACTGTCAGATGATGGATAGAGCCTGTCCGACAAATCAAGCCATGCCACCGCTAGTTTTTCCGGCAAAGCTCTGAAGTTGCAAATGTAACCATATCTTCTGTTTCTGTGATATCAACATCGCATATCTCGGTTTTGGGATAGTAGGAAGGCAAACACATACGTGTGGCCGAAAGGCATCGGTCACCTGGAGGTTAAACTCCATGCAAATCGATAAGTCCATAATAATCCAGAGACTGTAGCATGAAATCGAACTCCGTCTCGTCCCAGATTGCTCCAGTCTGATCGAAAGCTCTTTTGATATCCCATTTTGAAATTCCTTCTGATCCACCAACAGCTATCACTGGCCCAGTTCTAGCCGACATGTGAAGGGTCACGCCGTTTGACGCTAGCCCCACATATATGGGAGGTATTATGTTGGCATCTAAACGTAACGCAGCCCTGTTGAAATATAACCTTGACCTTGTGAGGCATGTCAATTTCAAATGCGGCTTGGTCTGGAGGGAAAGTAAATGTTATGTTCAGCAGTAGAGTGAAAAGTACATCGTAGCAAAATAGGTGGAAGATGGTTGAGAAAACAAGGCGATGGTGCGCGGAGAATGAGGAACATCTGACGTTCTTATAACCAACACAAAAGTCTTGTAAACCACCGTGAACAAACAGGCTGTCCAGCGCTGTGCCAAATCTTTCAACATTAACCCGTCCGGTCGCGAAGCTCTCCACTGGCACCTCCCTTTGCTTCTTGGTATAGTCTGCCAGTTCCGCCAAGCTCCCTGGCCATTCACATCAAAGGAAAAGCCATCTCTTTATCTCTTTGAACAGCTTGCAGATTTCTTCCTCTTTTTCCTCCTCCTTAGACAAGTAACAGGTTGTCACAGTAATTCCGTTACTTGCTGCCGTTTCCTGAATAGCGCTTTTCAATGCGGACTAAGACATATGAGCATCATCTTGTTATGGTTATCAGTAAAACTTACTAGATCATGTTCTAAATCTTCCAACTCATGGGGTGTCCAACCAGATCTCTGTAACTGCTGGTCCTTTCTGAAGTTGTGAAGAAAGTCAAGCACTTTTTCGCCACATTGCTGCTGCAGAATTTTCTCTGGGCGACCACCTTGTCTCAAAGGGACTGTGTTGATTTGGAAGCATAGCCGCGTGATACTCATGAGACATCGATTATGGATGGCAGCGTGCTTCCATGTCTGCTCTGTCAGCTCCTTTCTCTTCTCAGGCCTAAGCCCTGCCCTTGCAAATACCGCCCAGACAATCGGTTTCACATGGAGGCCGCCTAAGAACTGCATCATTTTAGGTGTTTGAGAACTATTCGAGTGCTCTACCATCTTAAAATGAGTACCTTTATCCATAGTTGCGACGTAGATGGCCACTTTAGTCTTTGGTTGAGCAAAGGAGTGAGATAGACTGTTCTGGTGCTGGTTGTGTCTCGACAAAACCATTCAAATAAGCATCCAACGCATGCATGGTGGTTTGACGCATAGGAAAAGGGAAATGTTTTAGTAAGTTTGAACCAAATTTAAATTAGGCGAAAAGAGAGATATCTGGCTCAACTTTGCCACTGAATAGTCGGCAGTCGATGTATGTTTAAAATATAGCTGGATAAACATGTTCCAAGGGCAAGAAAACCATACAGCACGGGCTGTCCCTGCATCATTATTACATTGATTGGCCAAATTTCATGCTTCTAGTCACAATATCTCCACACATTTCGCTCCGATTGGCTTCGAAGAAAACCCCAGTTAAGAGTTTCTCCTTTCGAGATGAGCAAATATTTTTGAGTCTCGTCCCAGAGTCGAACACAAGCGAGACGGTGCTCGAACAACTTCTTCCCAGACAAGGGCGCCATACTTTCCGCAAACTTGAAAAGGCTGCTAGCAAAGGCTATCTTAGCTGCAGGATCACCTTCTAATTCGAGTTTGTAGGCGTAAATCGCGTAGGCATCTGCATGATCTCAAAGCTGCACATTGGATAATGGGAGCAGATCTTCTGCAGAATCTCCTATTGTCAAGACATAAAGATTGATCCCGCACGACTTTATTTGTCAATCAATGTTGGAGTACAACGTTGAGGGCTCGTACCTTTCCTGGTGCAGTCTCTTCGGACTTTTTTTGGTGCCAATTGCATGCCATGGTAATTTAAAGCACGCTCGGACCGTGTTGGGGTAGCGGTAGTATTATAGTATCAGGGCGTACTAGTCATTACCAGTTTTTCTTATTCAAGGCAGTATCTGTGCAGCAACAACGAGTTTTATGCTACACTCAGCCGCCGCACCTCCGTTGAACATGCATCCCCTGAAAAAGCCTTTTCAGATCATCAAGCAGTAGTCAAGAAGCTCAAAGCGGCAATATTTTGTCATTGATAATATGATTCTAGAGCATAGAAAGTACCAATTCATGTATGGAGCAAACTTTACAGCAAAACAACAGAGCCGTAGTCACCCGCTGAGTATGTCCCCTGTCACAGTCTAGTTCCGTTCATCGTGAGTTTTGTCTTTTTG